CCTCCCTCCCTCCCTTCCTTCCTTCCTCCCTCCCTCCCTCCCTCCCTCCCTTTACTTCCTCCATCCATTCCATCCCTCCCTTTTCTTCCTTCCTTCTTTCCCTTCCTTCCTCCATTTCTTGCCTTCCTTCATTTCCTTCCTCCCTTTCCTTTCTTCCTTCCCCCATCCCATTCCTTCCCTTCCTCCATCCATTTCCTTCCTTTCTTCCTCCACTTCTTTCCTTCCTTCCCCCAAATCTCTCTCCCTCCTCTCCTCCTATTTCCTATTTTGTTCTCCAGCAATAGCATTCATGAGTGCAGCCAAAGAAGTTTAGTTTTGTGTCATCAGCCTATGGTAGTAGTTGGTCCCATGTGGGGACATCTGATGTAAGGGGGACTGTGACAGGGATGTGTGATATAAGGGGGTACAGGTTCTGTTTATTCATCCCAATCTAACGACATCCCAAAATATACTAGTGCTCCCTGTTCACTCCCTACTGACACTATCCACTGCCCCCACAAAATCATTGTGAAAACAATAATACAAAAATAAATTGTAAAAAATAATAAAAAAGTTAAATAATAAAATAAAAAATAATATAAAAAATCTTACACACCCACTCCATTGCTCTAATGACACCATTCACTGGCTACCCAGAAGCATTTTGAAAAAATGATAAAAATAATAAAACATTATATTGAAAAAAAAATCATAAAACTGTAAAAAAAAATAAAATAATAATAATAAAAATGAAGAACTACTGACACCATCCACTGCAATACTGATACCATCCTGCACACACTACCCACTGCCATACACTCTGCACTCCTCTCCCTGCACATGCTACCCACCGCCATACACTTCACACTGTACATTTCCTATTTAACATTACCTCATTCTGCACTATGTAAGTCAACTCAGACACTATTCAACCACACCCTTTTAAGCCATGCCCATTTTAAAAGTGCCTTTGAAACCACACCCACTTTTCGCTGCAGCGCACCACATTTTTTCTTTATCACTGTCTAGGGCCCACTTTTGATCTTGCACATGGACCCACTGATTTCATGATACGCCCCTGGGGGGCTGTGTAGCTTTCCTTCAATCAGCTCTCAGAACTCTCCTTACTAAGCTCTGCAGTGTGTGATTTCAGCTCTCCTGCTTTCTGAACTCTCAGACAAGCCTCAACTGCCTCCCGCTTGCCGTATTGGGAAATGACATGATGGGAGCTCCTGTGGGGAGATCTCAAAACAGCAGTTGGAAAAAGAACCTTTCCAATCTGAGAGACCTGGAGCAGTTAGTGAAAGAAGAGTGGTCCAAACTTCCAGTAGAGAGGTGTAAGGAACTTATTGATGGTTGCAGGAAGCGATTAATTTCACTTATTTTTTTCAAGGGGTGTGCTACAAAATATTAAATTGAGGGTGCCAATCATTTTGTTCAGTCCATTTTTTTGAGTTTTGGGTGGAATGTGTCAGATTTGGCTTTTAGTTTCTCCACTTTTATGTGTCATACCGATACAAACAAAAGAAAGAAACATGAGAGTACCTAAACATTTGTAACTGCAACAATTTACTGGGAGAAGTGGTTCATCATCCGACAAAAATGCAGGGGGCCCATATTTTTGGCCATGAATGTACAAACACCTTGAGCTATGTGGAACAAACAGAAGAGAGAAGCTGATTAGTTGCTATGGGTACTGCAATGAGTTACAATAGAACTTGTCCCAGACACCTTTTAGTAATCCTCTCACATGTCTTGCTACTATATATCAATTTCTGTTAATTTACTGGTTATTTTGGAACAGTGCGCCCAGCTTTCACGAGGAAAACAAATCTAGACACAGCATCCATTCCTTTTCACCTTACAGCGATTCTAAAGGTTCATTTTTTCTTTTTTATAAAATAACAAACATGCTAAATTTACCTGCTGTGTGTAATGGCTTATGGATCCTCCACTTCTCAGGTCCCCCCCCGCAGGCTTTCCTGGCCTCTCCCTTCTGTTGGGTGCCCCCACAGCAAAAGCTTGCTATGGGACACCCGCTGCTCCTTGTGTCCATTCACACACGAAGCCATGACCTGGCGTGCCCCTTCTCTCTCCTCATTGGCTGACTGGCTGTGATTGACAGCAGTGGGAGCAAGCTCTCGTTGCTGTCTCAGCCAATGAAGAGGCAGAGACCGAGGCTGTCATTCACATCACTGGATTGCGATGGGGCTCAGGTAAGTATTGAGGGGGCTGGGAACTGCGTAGAATGAATAGAATGAAGGTCAAAAACCTTGAGCCTTTACAACCACTTTAAAACTACTTTCACACTGATCCATGGAAAAAAGGCATATGTGTTTTTGCTGCGTTTATACCATGCTTTTGGTGTGTTTTTTAAACACTTGCCGACCGCAGATAGCCAAATGACGGCTTCACCGTGGCCAGCCAGTTCTGGGAGGGCGTCATATGATGTCCTCCCAGAACACGCCCTCCCGTGCGCCTCTTAGGGCACGCACCCGGTGATCTCCATGATTGCTGATCCCACAGACACAGCTGATGTGGTAAAAGGCCAATCACAGCGGCCTTTTACCACGTGATCAGCCGTGTCCAATGACACAGCAGATCATCGGTAAATGCAGTTGCATGTGACTTAAAAACTGCACCATAAATGCTTCCCGGGTGCATTTTTAAGACATTTTCCACTGATTTCAATGGGAAGAGGTGTTTTTGGAGCATTTTTTAACTGAACAAACATGCTCCAAAAATGGTGCAAACAGGTTTTTTTACACCCCAGAGTGAAAACATACATAGACATACTATACATAGAAAAGCATTTTTCATGAGCATTTCTTGTGCTTTTTTTTAGCACAAAAGTGCTTCAAAACTCCTCAGTATGAAAGCAGCCTAAAGCAGAACTCACCCAGGAGGAAGTACTAAGTTTTGACAGGTACCCCGGCTCCCACTTCGGATTGTCCCCCTCCGTCTTGTAGAACACATCACAGGTACCAGAAGACTGTGAGACAATTCACAAAGTGTAGCACATCTTGCGCATGCGCAGTGGGCGGCCAACTGTGAGGCTAAAAGCAGTATAGCCAGCTCTCCACAGGATGCTGGTGCCTGGACCTGAATCTGATTGAAGAATTGGCTTGGGTGAGGATGGCACTGGAACCCATGGACAGGTTAGTATCCTTTTATTTAAAGTCAGAAAGTACAGGATTTGTAGCTGCTGACTTTAATTTTTTTTTTTAGCTGTGGACAACCCCTTTAAGTATATTGACTAGCGCTCCCTTTACAAAACAATCAGCAAAGTGTCAGGCAAACTAGATGGTGATGGTCAAATATCCCTCAGCAAACTCCTTTACACCTACGTAAATTACCCATAAGTACTTTAATAAAAAAAAAAGAATCGAACGCTATCACCAGACAAAAAACAAGAAAGGTGCTTAACCGCTTCCCGACCGCCCTATAGCAGAAGTACTGTACAGGGCAGCAGGGCTGTGCAACATCACGTACTGTATATATACACGTGATTTCGCATTTCCAGATAGGGGGTGCACACCGCCCTACTCACGCCACCATTTGTGGCTACAGATGTTGATCACCGGGTCCCAGAAGGAGATTTTCTGCTGCCACCCGGCGATAGCAGAGTATCATTGACAAGGGAGAGACCAGTGTATAAACAACAGGTCTCTCTCCTGCCAGCAGTAACATGGTGCTGTGTATTTCACTGCACAGCAGAAAAATACACAGCAGCATGTCTCCCTAGTAAAACACACACAGCACACAGTTAACCCTTTGATTGCCCCAGATGTAAACCCCTTACTGTCAGCATAAACAAGCTGCTTTCTCTCTCTCTCTGCACAGCAGTCTCCCTAGTAAAACCACACAGTGTAAGCGAAACACAACCCTTTGATCGCTCCATATCAGGGGTGGACTGACCATTTGGAAACTCAGGCACTGCCCGAGGGACCGGGGTCAGTAGGGCGCCCCATGAGATGCCCCTGGTACCTTTTTCATAGGCTTTTTTGAGTGCGGGCAAGGACACAGGGGCCCCATGATCCCCTATTTCCCGGGGGCCCCATAAGTTGTCAGTCCGCCCCTGCTCCATATGTTAACGCCTTCCTGCCCAGTGTCATTAGTAGTGTCAGTGTTTCTTTATTAGCACTGATCACTGTATTAGTGTCACTGGGGATGTCAGTGACAGTCAGTTCCCCCCAGTGACAGAATGCCCGCCGCAGTCCTACTATAAGTCGCTGATCACCGCCATTACTAGTATAAAAAAACTTTTTTGAAAAATTCCAGTATATATACCGCCATTTGTAGATGCTATAGGTTTCACGTAAACCAATTAATGTACATGTATTGATATTTTGTTTTTAGCAAAGACATGGAGCAAAATTAATTTTTGCCCAAATTTATTACGAAACTTGATTTTTAACATTTTTTTTACTTGACGTTTTATAGCAAAAAGTAAAAAATAGAGGCTATAGAAAACATTCAGCAAAGCTTTAGGTAAACTAAATGGTGATGGTCGATTATCTCGCAGCAAACTCCTTTACACCTACGTAAGTCACACATGGGCACTTTAATTAAAAAGTAAAACAATGTAACGCGATCAGCAGAGGAAAAACAAAACAAGGTGCTTAGACTGCCGAGAAATCCTCAGTACAGGAAGCAGAATGAAGTATTTCCATAACGAGGCGTGGCCAGCAGCCTCTCCTGAAACGTGTCAGTCGCTAGCGCTGGCTCAGAAAGTAGAGCCTTCTGCCATTTTTTGTTGAGGTCAAAGCAAACTCTGTAAACAAGTAACTACTACATACCATGACTAGTATTGAGTCAGAATAGCTCATTCAGTTGACATATGTGTAACTTTTACGTAGGTGTAAAAAGCAAAGCGAAGTGTTTTCATATATATGAACGGTTCTTCGGTGGTTCTGCCCACAACAAACATGGAGTGAGCTGCTGTCGCGAACGTTCCGTCATCATTACTAGACGTTTCTCTCCATCCACTTTACGTGCCCGTACTATTCTAGGGGCAGAAGATGGCGAATCCTGGGGGTGCGGCAGGCACTAATGCCCTGGCTTCTCTGTGGAGTGATGTGAACAAAGCTGGACAGAACGGGGACTTCACCAGGGCGCTGAAGTCTATCAATAAAAGTAAGTGAGGGCAGCCTGTACTGTCCCATGTGAGATCTTGGGGGTTCCAAGGATTGTGACAGGTAAACATGGATCTGTGGCGAAACACAGTTATAACATCAGGGGGTTCATTCATTCATTGATAGCATATCCATTTAATAAAATGACAAAAAATGAGACCTATTCTCCTTCCTATGTATGTATGGGTTTACTGCAAAGGCATATTATTATTATTATTATTACTACGAGTTTATATAGCGCCAAAGGGTTTGCTCAGCGCTGTACAATAGGGGGGGACAATACATATAATCCCTAGACTGCCCTGCATTGTGTGTAATGGCAATGTGGATGAATTCTGCAGGCTTTTTTTATGAGGAAGCTAGGAGGTTTTAATTTAATATATCACCTGCACCCTGTAATCAACAGGAAAAACAGATCTGCTCCCTACAGTATGAAAGGAACCTACTGCCTGTGCTGTCCACATTATTTGTCACATAATCGTCATCAAAACATATGCACCTTTTGGGCTTGAGTTTATAGCCACTGTTGCTGGACACTGGCTTTTGCCTATAAAGTGTTACTAAACCCACATCTGTAAAATCAGTCTGTATATGCAATAAAGTATGTTTGTTATATTTTTGTGTTTAAACCACTTGCCTACAGGGCACTTATACCCCCTTCCTGCCCAGGCCAATTTCCAGCTTTCAGCACTGTCACACTTTGACAATTGTGTGGTCATGCAACATTGTACCCATATGAAATTTTTATCATTTTTTTGAGACAGAGCTTTCTTTTGGTGGTATTTAATCACTTCTGGGATTTTTATTTTTTCTTAAACAGACCAAAAATCACTGAAAATTGAAAAAAAAAAGTTTTTTCTTAGTTTTTGTTATAAAAATTTTGTAAATAAGTGATTTTTCTCCTTCACTGATGTGCACTAATGAGGCTGCACTGATAGGTGGCACTGATGAGGAGGCACTGGTAGGTGGCACTGAAAGGCAGCACTCATATATGGCACTGTTAGGTAGCACTGACGGTACTGATAGGCGGCACTGATGAGGAGGCACTGGTAGGTGGCACTGATGGGCACTGAAAGGCAGCACTCATATATGGCACTGTTAGGTAGCACTGACGGCACTGATAGGCGGCACTAACTGGCACTCATAGGCAGCACTGACTGGCATTGATAGGTGGCACTGACTGGCACTGATGGGTGACACTGAAAGGCAGCTCAGATGGGCACTGGTAGCCACTGATATGTGGCATTGATGGGTACTGACAGCTGGCATGGATGAGCACTGACAGCTGGCACTGATGGACACTAACAGGTGGCACTGCTGGGGCTACACAGATCATCAGGGCACACTGATCATCAGTGCCTTGATGATCAGTGCACAGTTCCCTGATCAGTTCCCTCTGAGGGATGCCGATTACTGGCTCTCCCTTCCTCTCCTCTGTCAGCGTGACAGCTCATGAGAGAAATGCCGATAACCAGCATTTCCCTATTTACATGCAATCAGCTGTGGTTGGACACAGCTGATCACATGACCGAGCCAACATCTTTGGCTCTTTCTGTTGATCCGCTGTGTCCGAGGGATATGACGTTCTCCCAGAATGAGAGAACCACCTTGCAGACAGGATCAAACAGCTTTTTTTTTTAAGTACCTCCCACCCACCATATAGTATAATGACAGGCGGGAGGTGGTTAAAAAAAAAAAAAAAAAAAAAGCTGATCCTGTCTGCTCTGATTCTCCCCCTCTTTTACTGTCCTCAATCCATCTGCTGATAGTACAGAGCATTAGGCGTCACTCTGCACATGTTCAGTTTAGTGTGTGTTTCTGGAGGTTTTTCTTTTTCTTTGGGAGGGTGCATGTGATCAGCACAGGGCCAATCAGCACTGTCCAGACGGAGTGTCAGGGGTCAGGCAGCCTCACAGGACAGTCAGAGGAGAATGAAAACTCATCCTACAAGCATTAACCAATGCTCGGCCAAACACTGATAGAAGTCACAAGACTACTATACTCACTCATATACTGCTGATGAGAAAAGGTTTCTAGCAGTTTATATTTACTAAAATAATTGCACTTCCATGTTCTGTGGGAGACCAGATATAGTGGATGCAGGGTCATGGGTTTAGTATCACTTTAAATGCAGTCTGATCACAGCAAGGGCTGCATTTGGCCTTCTTTTCTTAAAAGTGGTTCTGAAATCTATTTTATTTTTTTTTTACCTTCATGCATTCTTGACATAAAGGTAAAGAAAGTGGGTGGAGGAAGATCTTCACTAGCAGAAGTGGAATTAGCACAAGGAACACATCCTACCGATTGTAAGTTATGTCCCTTGTGCTGATTTTTCTATTTGTGATTTTGGCTGCACTTCTGTTTTAAATCTGATTAGTTTAATCCACATATTCCTCCCCCGTTATTTGCCTTTACTAACAACTATTTATAAAAAAGCAGCATGCATGAGGTGTGCATTGTGAAGAAAGTCTCCCTTATTTATAACACATTTCATGTCTTTGCTGCTTTTTCTGATATTGGTGTATTTATGTCTCTTGTATTTAGTAGCAACGTATGAGTTTCTTACTTCTTGCTTTTTCCCAGTATTGCAGGTGGCAAAGGATGATGTCAAAGCGTTGCACTGTAAAGTGGTTTGCCATATTCAGAATGGAAGCTTTAAAGAAGCCCTTACTGTAATTAACAACAACGCTAAAGTGCTAACTAGGTAAACTCTTACAGCATTTGTGAACAGAACAAATCATTGTTTTTGTACAGCAGCATGCAGAGTATTCGTTTATTGTACCCCAAGACTGCATATTTCCCTTTTTATTTTCTCCTTTTGGGACTGTTAAATATACAAGTAAAAGCGTTTTGTTATATTGGTTTGAAAATATGGTCTTGCCAGATATTCTGAGCCGTCCTGTGTCCTTAGCGTTTCTGTATATCAAAGAGCCATTCCACTTCTTGCCTTGGACTACAGAATAATAAAAGGCTGTGCAGAGATGACAACATGCGATCCACAAAAATGCTGCGTTTTGGCAGCCCACAACAGAGTTTAGAAGCTGAGTGCATGTTTGGCACATTAATGGGCATTTTGTGTTTGTAGGGTCTTTAACCACAAACCTATCGGGCACTTATACCCCCTCCTGCCCAGGCCAATTTCCAGCTTTCAGTGCTGTCGCGCTTTGAATGACAATTGTGCGGTCAGGCAACACTGTACCCATATGAAATTATCATTTTTTTGAGACAGATAGAGCTTTCTTTTGGTGGTATTTAATCACCTCTTGGATTTTTATTTTTTTTTAAACAAACCAAAAACCACTCAAAAGTTTTTTCTTATACAGTTTTGTAAATAAGAGATTTTTCTCCTTCACTGATGTGCGCTAATGAGGCTGCAGTGCTGGGCACTGATAGGTTACACTGATAGGTGGCACTGATGGGCACTGATGAGGAGGCACTGGTAGGTTGCACTGATGGGCATTGACAGGCATCACTGATGGGCAATGAAAGGCAGCACTGAGGCGTACTGATAGGCGGCACTGATTGGCATTGATAGGTGGCACTGACTGGCACTGATGGGTGACATTGAAAGGCAGCTCAGATGGGCACTGATATGTGGCATTGATGTGGCACTGATGGGCACTGGCATGTGGTACTGATGAGCACTGACTGCTGGCACTGACAGGTGGCACTTCTGGGGCCACACTGATCATCAGGGCACACTGATCATCAGTGCCCTGTTGATCAGTGTACATGTCCCCTCAGCAGAAAGCTGATTACCGGCTCTCCTCTCTTCTCGAGCTGTCAGCGTGACAGCTCGAGAGGAGAGATATGCCGATAACCGGCATTTCCGTGTTTTACATGTGATCAGCTGTGATTGGACACAGCTGATCACATGACCGAGCCGACATCTTCGGCTCTTTCCATGATCCGCATGCACGGTGAGAATGGAAGGACGTCATATGACGTCCTATCAGAACGAGAGAGCCACCTTGCGCCCGTGTACTTTGTACTATAGGGCGGGCGGAAGGTGGTTAAAGAGACATTCACCTTTCGTAAAATGGTAAATGTTACACCCATATTCAGCATGTAACATATTACGATCAAACTGGTTCCCGCTCTTCCCCGCTCCCTGCTGTGACAGCTAGCGAGGGATCTTCTCCCCCCTCACTAGCTGTCAAATTAAAAAAGACGTGGCTGTGGGGGCTCTTCCCGCCCAGCTCATCACTCAACAGTATTCTGTGAATATGAAAACTACAAGTTCCAGCAGCCTTTGCGGCTGTCGGCTTGTAGTTTTAATGAACTACCACAGCGCCGTGGTAGTTCATTAAGCCTTCTTGTCAGTAGCATCTGCTTGTGCGTATGGGATGGGATAAAGGTGAACTTATCCTTTAAGGCAGGCATGTCCAAAGTCCGGCCCGCGGGCCATTTACGGCCCGGGGGCCATTTACGGCCCGGGGGTCGGTTTAATACGGCCCTCCAACAGCCCTCCCTGCTCTGTGTAATGTGGCCCTCCCACGGCCCTCCCTTCTATGGCAGACAGTCTTCTGCTTGAGAGCAGTGCGCATGCGTGCCGGCGCAGCGCTGGGAGTGACAGAGGGTGGTGACGTCAGGGCCGGGCTTCCAGCATGAAGTGTGTTTCTCTTCCCCTCCTGGCTGCTGAGCAGAGACTTCAGCGCCAGTTACCTTTTTCACCCTTCACATTAGTGCAGGTAAGTTTTTTTTTAATTTATTTTCAATACATTGTGAAAACTCAGCTGTCAGTTGATCTTAATGTTATGAAATGAAAAGTATGTCATTTGCAATTAACTTGGCATAAAATAATTTATTTGCATTTAATTGTAATGGTTCAAAGAATGTTCGGAAAAATGTTCGGCCCTCTACCATGTTCACTTCATCCAATCTGGCCCTCTTTGAAAAAAGTTTGGACACCCCTGCTTTAAGGGGATAAAACATGGAGAAATGTGTATGTATTGTAGAGAAGTACTGCATATGCTTTTGTTTTATTTTGTCTTGATACTGTATATGCTTCTATATTTTCTGTTTGTACTCCTCTCAGGAGCCTTTACTGAAGAAAATTATTTTTTTTTCCACAATAACACGGTTTGCTGCCACCTGAGTACATCCTTCTGTGTGCTAAGAAATATTCTTCAGAGAGACAGGTTGCTCAATTCAGTTCAGTCACTTGGATTCTAGCATAGACTCTGCATTATAATTCACAAAAAAAGCACGCTATATTGTCCCATATGGGTAAACCTACCTTCCAGCCAGGACTCCATTTCCGATCAAAAAAATATAGGACAAAACTGAAAAAGAAGCCTTCTTAAAGTCTTCTAGAGGCTGTGATTGTACGGGGTTATTGTAGGCAAAGAGCAGCTGATGGGACCAGCACCCCCAAGTGCTATGGGAGGGACCACTATCCTGTTCTTTTGGGCTTCATATTTGTAGTTTGCACTCTTTCCTGATGCACCCAGTGAGCTAGTCATGGGCAACAATACAACGCTCCATCCCATGGGACTAGGGGGCTCTGGTCCTAATGGCTGCTGTGTCCCTATAATAACTCGAAACAGAGCCAAGTATGGGGCAGCAGAGACTTTTTTTTTTGCAAAGGAGAACCAATCCTTTAAAAAAAACAAGTTACAGACAGCTTAGTCAGGTTGCCAGTTTTGCATCTTTCTCACAGACTTTAAAGAATAAGTTCACCTTTGGGAGCATGCTACATGTTCCACCTGTTTTTAGGGTGGAACATGTAACATTTTCCCATAGCCGCAGATGCTGCCCCCCCCCCTCCCCCCATACTATCTGTTAAATTTGAAAACAGCATGGCTGTGCGTGGCTCCACCCACAAGTCACATCATTCATTAGCTGACTTGTGAATGAATGAACTGCAAGTCCCGACAGCCTTGGCGGCTGTCAGCTTGTAGTTTTCAATGAACTACCATGGCACTGGCTGTGGAGCTCTGTGGTAGTTCACTGAAGCTTCCTGTCAGAATATCTGCTTGCTCGTACATCCCAATCGGATATGACAGGTCTTCAGGAGACCTGCATGGCATCAGCAATCTACTAATCTCTGGTGCAATGCTTTCCAGGCTCCTGCGGACAAAAATAATAAATGCACATTTTTTTACCTGAAAAAAAATGTGCATTTTATTATTTTTATCTAAAAGGTGAACTTATCCTTTAACTTACAGCCATATGCTACAGTGTACTTTAAATTGTAAATAAATGGAAACCGTAGCTAGGCCAGTTATATTTGTAGTAAATATTCACACTGGATGTAGTCGGTGACGTCACCGGCACTTGCACTCTGAAGAGATGGCATACCCGTGCCGTCCCTTCAGAGTTGTGATGCATGTGCTCGGGAGTGACATCATTGCAGCTCAGGCATTCAAAGAGCAGGAGCCAGCGAACCCAGAAGGAAGCCTGAGTGAAGATGGAAGCCCTGTCAGCGGGGACAGTGCACTGCTGGAAGACTTTTTCTAAGGTATTTTATAATGTGCCAGCATGCGATTCATACTAGCACATTATGCCATTGCTTTGCAGGGGATTTTTTTTTCCTTAAATATGAAAAGCAGCGGTTTACTACAGCTTTAAAAACCTATTTTACTCAATTTTCATGCAGATTTCCACTATCTGATTTACAAGAGACTGAGAAATAATTGAAACTGCATGTCATATGCTGGTGGAATGCTTTAAAACTACAAAGCGTGTAATCAACAAATTCCTATTGCTCTTCCTTTCAGCCTACCTATAATGCAGCTGGTTTTGAACTTTTTTTTTTTTTTTTTGCCATTTTCTTTAGTGACATAATCGCCTTTGAAAAGGCATACTGTGAGTACAGATTAAACAAAATTGAGAATGCCTTGAAAACCATAGAAAACACCCCTCAGAAGACAGATAAACTGAAGGAACTCCAAGGACAAGTGGTAGGTAATTTTTGTTTGTTTTGTCTATAAATTACTGAAGGAAAAGATATTTACACCCCCCCCCCCCCCTTCCTGACCAGGCCATTTTTTGCAATACGGCACTGCGTTACTTTAACTGACAATTGCGCGGTCATGCAATGCTGTACATTAAATTTTATGTCCCTTTTTTTTTTCCCCCCCACAAATGGAGCTTTCTTTCAGTGGTATTTGATAACCTCTGTTGTTTTTTAATTATATTTTTGCGACCATTTTGAAAAAAAAAACAATATTTTTTTACTTTTTGCTACAAAACATATCCAATAAAATTTTTTTAAAAATAACATTTCTTGCTGTGCACAGAGATACAAAGCAGCATGTCCATGCTGACAGGAGAGAGATCTTTTGTTGTTTACACTGAGGTCTTTCCCATCACCTTTGCGAAGATCACGAGCCAATAGCGGCGCGGGTAGGGCGGCGTGCACACCCCCTACCCGGAAATGCAAATCACGTGTGTGTTTGTGTGTGTATATACATGATTTTGTACAGCCATGTCGCCCTGTAGCAGTACGTCTGCTATAGGGCGGCAGGCAAGCGGTTAAAGCTTTAGTAAACACTGCCTGATGAATTGTACCTACAGGTATGCTTATAATAGAGCTTACCTGTAGGTTTAAGAAATATTTTCTAAACAAGCACCGTTAATCACCATTATTGCAGCGGGTGATGGCACATGCGCAGTGCGCTCTGAAGGGATGGTATACTGAGTATGCTGTCCCTTCAGAGTGCTGTGCTACAATCATAGCACCTGTGCAAATGCACAGGAGTGATGTTATGGCGGCTCGGCTATAACAAACGGCTGGAGTGAGCAGAATATCACAGCAGTAATACTTTTGTTACTAGTAATAAGTAGGCAAGGCTTAGAACCAGGTTTTTGTTGTTGTCAATGAAACCCTTGAATATTATTTTAACCCTTGTGTCATTTGGGGAAGCACAGTGACTAAATGATTAGCACTTCCGCCTGGCAGTATTAGGGTCATTGGTTCAAATCCCAACCACGGCATCACCTGCCTGGAGTTTGCATGTTTTCCCTGTGCCTGTGTGGATTTCCTCCCACACTCCAAAGACATGCTGGTAGGTTAATTGGAACCTGTCTAAATTGTCCCTAGTATGTGTATGTATGAATGTAAGTTAGGGACCTTAGATTGTACACCCCTTGAGGGTTAGGGACTGATGTGAATGTACAATATATATGTAAAGCGCTGCATAAATTGACGGCGCTATAAAAGTAGCTGTAATAAAAATAAATAAAAATGTGGCTTGGAAGTGGTGGGATACCAGGGATCTAAGGAGCAATCAAGCTTTTACTCTTACCCACTAATGTAACCAAGGAAAAGTTTGGATGGAGTTTTGCTTAAAGTGTTACTAAGCCCACAACAGTAAAATCAGTCTATATATGCAGTAAAGCATGCTTGTTATACTCACTGTGGAACCTAATGGGTTAATGCTCCATATTGTGTAAAAAAGATGTTTAATCCTCTCTTCTGATCATCCCCTTCTTCCAGTGTCTCCTGAAAATCTTCTGATAGAACAGAGGCTCAGGGGCAAGGTGCACATGCTCAGTTTGGTGTGTATTCCTAGAGAGTTTTTTTTTTTTCTCTTGGGATAGTGCATGTGATTAGCACAGGGCTAATCGGCACTCTCCAGACAAAGGTCAGGGGTTCTGCATCCTCCTACAGGAGAATGAAAACTCCTACAAGCTGTAACCAGTGCTCTTCTGGACACTGATAGAAGTCACAAGACTGCTCTAACTGCTGATGAGAAAAGGAATTTAGCAGTTTAAATTTACTAAAATAATTTAATTTCCATGTTGTGTGTACTGTGGGAGACCAGATAGAGTTAATGCAGGGTCCTGGGTTTAGTAACACTTTAAATCAAATTAACTTACTGTCGTATGCCATCAGTCTCTGTGTTTGTATTTTTATTATATATTAGATATATAGTAAATCTCTTTTGCTATTAAGCTATATAGGTTGGAACGGTATGAAGAATGCTTATCAGTTTATCGAGATATCATTCGTAATTCACAAGATGACTATGATGAAGAGAGGCAAACAAATCTTTCTGCTGTAGTTGCTGCTATGAGTCTTTGGGAGAAGAAAACAACCGTAAGAGACTTTCTAACTTTTTTTAATATTTATGTTTTTAAAAATGTTATCTTCTTTAAGAAGTGTAGAATTGTGTCTTAGCTGACAGCTCCAATACCACCCAGAAGTGTCTTGGAACTTGCCTGCATGAACTTCCCAACAGTTGGCCATGATGAGAAGGCTTTGGAGGCAGCTGCAGGTCTGTGCAGACTTATCTAGATGCACATTGGCAGCTGTTTGCTGCTTTGACCTATCTCCCCCCCTTCTCTTTCCCTACACACACAGCAAGAGCCTCTTTAAATATTCAACTGTCTAACCTTTTCTGTTAAATGGTTTTATCTTCTTGTTTATGATCACTTTAATTTGTGAGTAATTTACTAAATTATCTAAAGTTTGCTTTTCATCTTAATTTAATACTTGATCATGAAATCAGAATTTTTATTGCACTATTTTTATTGAAAAACTGTAGAAAGTGTATACAGAAAAAATAGGAAACATACCCCACCTACATGTTGAGTTGGGGCAAATAAACAGATTCATAGAGTATATAGGCACATAAGAATACATCAACCAATGATGGTAGAACATACTCCATTGGTCAGTAAACCTGGGCAGTTTCAGATAGTCATCTGACAAAATAAGAAGACCGAAAAAATTGAACAAAAAAAGCAAAGGAGAGCGTAAAGAATACAACGGAAAAAAAAAAACAAAAGAGAAGAAAGGAAAGGAGGAAGGAAAGAAAAGAGAGAAGAGAAAAAGAGAAGAGGGCCAGCCATAAGTCCATTAGATAATAGAAATATACCTAATCCATGGCTCCCATGTAACCTCAAATTTAGAAGTATTATTATTAACGATACCCGTAAGTTTATCATTATCCAATTAAGTTTCTGTTTGACCAAGTCTAGCGGAATTGATGACTGTCTCCAACATCTAGCTATAATAATTTGTGCTGCCAACAGAAGATAAAGGATTAATTTAACTGATTTCTTGGGAATATCAGTGGGCAACAAATGAAATAAGGCTACTTCCGGTGATTTACGAATATTAATTTCCGTTACCGAATAAATTAAGTTAAATATTCGGATCCAAAATCTATGAACTACCGGATATTTCCACCATATATGGAGCATAGTGCCCTCTTGTCCGCAATGTCATGAAATCAGAATTTAAATATGTACCCTTGTTTTGACTGGGGGGGGGTTAAATCTACAAACTGAAATATCAGATAAGAGACAGGGTAAATATCACACCATTTAATACAGACCGCCAGGAATCATTACTATTCTAACAGTTTGCACAGCGCTTTACAACATGAGGGCAGACAGTACAGTTTAATACAGGAGAAATCAGAGGGCCCTGCTCGTTATAGCTCAGAATCTAAGAGGGAGGGTCAAGTGATAAAAAAGGTAATAGCTGTGAGGTATGAGCTGAAAATAAAAGTAATGTTGTTAGATGGGGGCCGACTGGGCTTTTCTGAAGAGAAGGGTTTTCAAGGATCCTCTAAAAGCAAACAGAGTGGGAGATAGTCAGACAGATTGGGGTAGGTTAATTGGCTGCTTTCTAAATTGGCCCTATGGCCAATGTGTGTTAGGGATCTTAGATTGTAAGCTCCTTGCGGGTTAGGGACTGATGTAAACGCACAGTGTGTGTGCGTAAAGCGTTGTGTAAATTGACGACTGGTAACAAAACTTTTTTTTTTTTCTGTTATTTACCACTGCATTCATGCTGTCCATTCCAGTACACAGGTGTCCAAAACCTCTGATGGGCATATACAACATTAACATTAGCTGGCTGCTTCCAGTCCTGCACATATTTCATTGGATTTGGGCACTGCCATGGTGGTTCTATGGAATTCTGTTGTAGCAAATAATTTCAATCAAAATAAATAGGACTAGTGGCAGTGAGCTATTGTTACTGTTGCACTACCATCTGAGTTCTGGGGGAGCTTTCTGCTGGAAAGGACAGCATAGAAGTAAGTGTACTTGCCACATTACATTTACCTCCCACTGTCCTTCCCAAAGATAGTTCTTGGAGTCCTCCTCCTTTAAAAAAAAATGTAACTTTTATTGTAAGCAATATTTATGTGTATTTTTTTTTTTTTTAATTTGATTTAGGAAGACTACGGTTTGCAAGAGACCTCTTATGAACTATGCTTCAATGCTGCCTGCGATTTATTAGGGCAGGGAAAGCTGAATGAAGCATTAGAAAAACTGCGGGAAGCAGAACGTAAGTGTTTTTTGTAAACCTTGGCATGCTTTGTAACTTGGGTTGGAAATGATGTACAGATTTGTTTTTAATCTAAGTTACTTTGTATCGTACTGTTGCATATCACCCCTTGTGTTTTTTTGGTTTGTTACACTTTGTTTATGCAGGCCTCTGTACAGGTTTAATAGGCAGAAGCCATAAAGAATTTAGTAGGATGTGCCAAACACTGTGGAAACCAAAATGTGACTTGTTTTGTGGACCAGCACTAGTTTTAGTCTAACAGAGAAACCATCTTCTTTTTTGTGTAGGGAAGGGAGAACCTGCAAAGCTTATAAGCCCTGTCAGGACCAATCTGCCTGATTACAAGTGCTTAACTGTTTATGGGGGAAAAAAAGGCATAAGTTCTTTGTTACAGTAAATATAACTTACTCTAGTGGCTATGATAAGCAGAAACATGCAAAGACCAGAACATTCTAAGTTAATATTTTATCCCCAACAGGGTATGGCAATAAAAACTCCCAAGATTAAGGCCACACAAATGGATCTAAATGGCCAAAATGACCTTCTTTTGGATTAATCTTTTGATTGTTATAGCCTAAAGTAGTAGTATATCCTGAATATTTGTAACTTAACCCATTGAGCATAAACATTCCTCAGTAAACTATTTATTAAAATTCTTACGCAAAGCCTTATAGTTTACAATTTCCAATGTTGCTGGCTTTTGTTCTCTGACTGCTGCTTCCCTGAACTTCTGGTCTTCTCAGGAAAGCATTGACCATGCAGTCTCCAGTCAGTCTGTTAAATATTGAGTAGGAGCTAAAGAGAGCCCTGCCATCCTAGACCTATGAGGTTGTGTGTTTTTATTGATGCACACAGTGTCAGGTGACACAGATCCAGTCCCTGCTTGCAAGGGTGTCTCTGTTGGATTCTACAAGAGAAATGAGCCTCCCTGAAATAGGAAATCTGGAGCTGTAGTTATGGTGCCAACTTTAAAGTATTAGTTCACCTTTACAGACAAACTTTAAAAGGTGACCTAACAGAGGACCACCCACCCCTTTCCAGTGATCCTCAGCTGTAAGGGGCTCCCACATCCGCTCACCATCCAGGGATTTCTATGCATGAAGGTTACAAAACCTTCTGTGTGCAGCATCCTCCCCAGCCTCCTCTAATACTCACCTAAGCCCCCTCTCGATCCAGCATTGTGCACTGATGTATCGGCTATCCGGGGAGTCCTTTTCATTGGCTGAGACAGAAGTGGGAGCCAATGGCTCCCACTGCTGTCAGTCACAGCAGTGGGAGCCAAAACAATAAACCTTTAGAAGAACTTTAATTATTTACATAAACCTTTCCTATGAGATCTATATGGGGCTGACATTTGAGAATTCCTATGGTATGGCTGGTTGCCTGGTTGCAATACTGAATGTCTGGAAAGTGTATGCGTATCAAGAAATAAAGTCTGAAGTCCTTATCTGAATACTTAATCACGATCAGACTCCACCTATAACAACTACACCACGTTCCAAATTATTATGCAAATACTATTTAAGTGTCACAAAGATGAAATATTTTGTTTTTCAGTTTAACTCATGGATGGCATTGTGTGTCAGGGCTCTTTTGATCACTGAAAACAATCTCGGACACCTGTGATAATTAGATTGGCCGGTGAGCCTAATTTAAGGAAAAACTACTAAAGGAGGGTGTTCCACATTATTAAGCAGAGCACCATTTTCAAGCAATATGGGGAAGAAAAAGGATCTCTCTGCTGCCGAAAAGAGTGAAATAGTTCAATGCCTTGGACGAGGTATGAAAACATTAGATATTTAACAAACGTAAGCGTGATCATCACACTATTAAGAGATTTGTGGCTGATTCAGAGCACAGACGGGTTTGTGCAGATAAAGGCACATTGAGGAAGATTTCTGCCAGATCCATGCATCGGATCAAGAGAGCAGCTGCTAAAATACCATTACATAGCAGCAAACAGATATTTGAAGCTGCTGCTGCCTCTGGAGTCCCACGGACATCAAGGTGTAGAGTCCTTCAGAGTCTTGCAACTGTGCATAAACCTTCTATTCGACCACCACTAACCAATGCTCACAAGCAGAAACGGCTGCATTGGGCAGAAAAATACATGAAGACTAATTTTCAAACAGTCCTGTTCACTGATGAGTGCCGTGCAACCCTGGATGGTCCAGATGGATAGAGTAGTGGATGGTTGGTGGATGGCCACCCTGTTCCAACAAGGCTGTGACGTCAGCAAGGTGGTGGTGGAGTCATGTTTTGGACCGGAATCATGGGAACAGAGCAGGTCGGCCCCTTTAGAGCCCCCGAAGGTGTAAAGATGACCTCTGCAAAGTATGTGGAGTTTATGACTGACCACTTTCTTCCCTGGTACAGAAAGAAGAACTATGCTTTCCGTAATAAAATCATCTTCATGCATGACAATGCACCATCTCATGCTGCAAAGAATACCTCTGCATCAATGGCTGCTATGGGGATAAAAGGAGAGAAAGTCATGGTGTGGCCTCCATCCTCCCCTGACCTCAATCCTATTGAGAACCTTTGGAGCATCCTCAAGCAAAAGATCTATGAGGGTGGGAGGCAGCTTACATCCAAACAGCAGCTCTGGATAAACAGAAACTGTCCAAAAACTCACAAGTTCAATGGATGCAAGACTTGTGAAGCTGCTATCAAATAAGGGGTCCTATGTTACAATGTAACATGACCTGTTAAAATGTCTAAAAAGTTTTTGATTGAAATAGCTTTTGATTTCAGTAAATATGCTGCAAACACAACAAATGACAATTTTCGGTTCTTTACAACCTATAAAGTGTTTTGAAACTTACTGTGCGCAATCATTTGGAGCAGTGCATTGTAAGTTTTTTATGTTTAAAAAAATACTGTTATCATTAGGAGGTTTGTTCAATAAAATTTGAATTGTACTCTTAATAGTTGATAACATGAGAATTATGCTGACTGTTATTTACATCAATTATTTAGGTAAATGAGAAAAGTACAATTTGCATAATAATTTGGACCACGGTGTAAAGGGTCAGTATTACAGGCAGAAAATATAACCTTTTGCTGAATGAAAAGTCAGCAGTGACAGCCTCGGTAGATAGGTTTACTGTGTTTTCATAAAATATTCAGACCCCCTTCACTTTTTTAAATTTTTGCTGTGTTGCAGCCTGATAATACAGTTGTTTAAAATTTCTATTTTTTTTTTTTCGAGAGTTTTTTTTTTTGTAGAACAGATATGCAATTTCTGCAGAAAAATGACCCTTCCTGCCTGCTCATGGCCTTCTCTGGCTTTGTAAACTAAGCTGTGCATGAGCAGCTCAGCTTAAAGCACCAGGCCATTCTCTGTGTCGGAATGAAAGCCTCCTGCGCAGTCGTAATCCCTTGCCAGCCAATGAACACAACCAGACTGGCACACAAAAGATGCCTGCGAGGGACTGTTGAAAAAGTGAATTTAACCCCTTTAGTTCTGATGTAATCCTTTTAGCAATGAATAGTGAAATTGCCATCACCGACAAGGAGAAGCACAAAAGTAGATGATTGGGCTGCTATATCAAAACCGTTCCCATGGAATCTAGTTGATAATGCTAACCACTTAATACCTTCCCCCCTTTTCTTTGCTCCATATTTCATAATTAAGTCCTTTTTTTTTTTTTTTTTCTTCTCTCTCTCTATTATACATTTGTGCGACAAGCATTTTGCTAAGGCTGAAACTGATCTCAATGTTATTGTGTTTTTTGTTTTTTTTTTTCTTTTGGTTTTTAGAGCTCTGCAGAGAGTCAATTTCAGAAGACTCGGTAAGTTTATTATTTTTCAATACTGTTCTACATTTTTAAATTAAAGTGGAGTTCCAGTTGAATTGAAAAAAAATAAGTCAGCAGCTATAAAAACTGTAGCTGCTGACTTTTAAAATACAGACACTTACCTGTCCCTTGGTCCAGTGGCGTCCTCACCCTGGCTGGTTTAAACACTGTCTTCTCTGCCCGGCGCTGGCATTTTCATTTTGGGCACCCGGCTGTGACAGCTTGCAGGTTAACAGCCGGGTGACCACTGCGCATGCGTGAGTAGTGCTGCGCTTTGTGACTGGTCCCGTAGTCTTCTGGGACCTGTCCTGTGTCCCAGAAAACTACAGGGAGGGAGGACAACTTCCGATCGCCTTAGGCGATCCCCCTGGAAGTTGGAGCAGGTACCTATCAAATTCGGGTGAGCGGGGGGACAAAGCCTTAAAATGGAACTTCCCCTTTTGGGGGCAGCTGCACGTCAACTGCTGAAAATTTGGGTAGGGTAAACTAAAACCGTAAAAACTGTGGCACATAGTCTTGTAACTTGCTGTCCACAAATTACGCCCTACTATTTCTTAAAAAGCTTTCCACCCTCATTGTTGGCTACTGAAAATGATGAAGGGACTGCACTTGCCTATCGGATAAAAGTTTTCAGCTACTTTCATGCTATTGTAGTAACTTCTACAGACAAACTTGTACAAATATCAAATATTTACTAAAACTGAAGAGTGCAAAATCTGGTTCAGCTGTGCATGGTAGCCAGTTGGCTCCTAACCTCAGCTTGATCAATTAAGCTTTGACAAAACCTAGAAGCTGGTTAGTTTCTATGCAGAGCTGCACTGGATTTTGCACTCTCCCAGTTTTGGCAAATCAACCCCAATATGTATTATTCTATTGGACTGTATAGTATAAAAATGACACACAGATACTTGCTTTGAATGATGGAGATTCAGTTAAAGGATAAGTCCACTTTTTTTTTTATGGAACATGTAACATACCTGACAGCCCTTTCCTTTGGTGTGACAGCTGGTGGGGGATCTTCTCCTTGCATCTGCTGTCATAATTCAAATACAGCACAGCTATGCAGGGCTCCACCCACGTGTCTGCATCATTCATTCAAAGTTTCCTGTAAATGAATGAACTACAACTACCATCATCCACCACAACCGACTGCTTGTAGATTTTAATGAACTGCGAGGGCACTGATGAGTGCCTTTTGTAGTTCATTCACATACCCTGCAGCTTTGTAACTGATGCGCTGCGCATTGTGAATATCATGTGTCCCTGAAGACTGCCTGAGGGTGGAGAGGGGGAGGAGAAAATTTCCGGTTGCCTTAGCGATCGCAGCGGAAGTGGGAGCTGCTCCCCAAAGGTGCCAGTCCTTAACTGGGAGTGGGACGAGGCCTTAAAGCAGAACTTCCCCTTTTGGGTAGAGCTCAGCTTATATAACACAAGAAAGCGCCAAGAGTAGAACAGAAGTGGTGAGGAAGATCATTAGAAATTCCCTTTTAAGGAGAATTTCCGCTTTATCTGATCACCATAATGGTGTCTCTATACTCTTTCCGTGAAAATTTTTCAGTAAACCTATATTAACCACTTGCCTACCGGGCACTTATACCCCCTTCCTGCCCAGGCCAATTTTTAGCTTTCAGCGCTATCACAATTTGAATGACAATTGCGCAGTCATGCAATACTGTACCATATGAAATTCTTATCATTTTTTGAGACAGAGCTTTATTTTGGTGGTATTTAATCACCTCTGGGATTTTTATTTTTTCTTAAACAAAAAAACACTAAAAATTTTGAAAAAAAAACCAAAACGTTTTTTCTTAGTTTTTGTTATAAAATTTTGTAAATAAGTGATTTTTCTCCTTCACTGATGTGCGCTAATGAAGCTGCAGTGATGGGCACTGATAGGTGGCACTGACAGGTGGCACTGACTGGCACTGATGCACACTGATGGGTGACACTGAAAGGCAGCTCAAATGGGCACTGATATGTGGCATTGATGTGCCCTGGTAGGCACTATGTGGCATTGATGTGGCACTGATGGGCACTGGCAGGTAGCATGGATGAGCACTGACAGGTGGCACTGAGGGACACTGACAGGTGGCACTGCTGGGGCTACACAAATCATCAGGGCACACTGATCATCAGTGCCCTGATGATGAGTGTAGATGTCCCCTCTGAGGGATGCCGATTACCGGCTCTCCTCTCCTCTCGAGCTGTCAGCGTGACAGCTCGTGAGGAGAGAAATGCAGATTAACCGGTATTTCCCTATTTACATGTGATCAGCTGTGATTTGGACACAGCTAATCACATGACCGTGCCGACATCTTCGGCTCTTTCCATTGATCGGTGATTCGCTGTGTCCGAGGGACGCAGCACACCACCGATCACTGTGCTGCATACTCCCGGAGCCGCGCATGCGCGGTTCGCATGGTACGACGCCATATGACGTCATCCCAGAACGAGAGAACCACCTTGCGCCCATCATTGCACTATATGGCAGGCGGCACGTGATTAAACTAAAAAACTGCTACTTGCCATCTTCAGTGAGTGCAGGGGTATATAGTTAATTAGAAGACACAAACTGGGGAATTAACTAAGCTCCCTGCGCCCTTATAACTATACAGGAAACTAGGGCAAGTGCTGTGAGCCACAATAAAGCCTCATTTACACTTGGGTTGTTCTCTGAAGAGTGATCCACTTTCAGATCACTCTACAGAGCGTAATTGACAGGCGGTGAGGAGGTGTTGTATTGCCTGCCTGTTTGTACATATGTATTTATACAGATGTAACATGGTACAAAAGTTGAACTTTACCTGTTGAATTGATGGTCTCTAATTTGAGATTAACATTAATTTGTTAACATTACCTGTTTAATTCAATGAAATCTATAGAAACAATGGTTGCTACAGCTTTGTTTCTTGGCTGGTAGCCTTGTTCTCTTGAGATAGAAACGGCACTTTGATTTCTGCATTATGCAAAGACATGCACATTTGGGACATAAAAGTGGATTTTTTTTTCTTTGTTCTGAGTTTGGCTAGGTTGATAAAAAAAAAAACGTGTGCCTGATTTTAGTTTATTGATGTTGCAGTGTTTACCATATTGTTAATTAACTTTGTTTGATGATCATTTTATTATGGTTTCAGGACTTGACAGAAGAAGATATAGAGTCAGAACTGGCAATAATTCATGGACAGATGGCCTATGTCAAGCAGCTGCAGGGTTCCATTGATGATGCTCTTCAGCTTTATAACCAAATTATCAAATTAAAGTAAGATGTTGAATTTATACAAGCTTGTCTGTTCAGTATGCATTTTAAACATTTGTGCTTGGTGTTGTGACCTTTCTTTCTTACAGGCCTACTGATGTCGGTCTGTTGGCTGTTGTGGCAAATAACATCATCACAATTAACAAGGTATCTACAGTTGTATAACTGTTCAGTTAGCTCTTATTTTGAATGATTTTATGTATTTACAAATACTTGTCTTTTTATTTAACAAGGACCAAAATGTATTTGATTCAAAGAAGAAAGTAAAACTTACAAATGCTGAGGGAGTGGAGCATAAACTGGCCAGGAAACAACTCCAAGCCATAGAATTTAACAAAGCTTTGTTGTCCATGCATACAAACCAGGTATGGTTTTTGTTTATTCTCCAAATATATATTTATCCATCCTACAAACCAGTGTCAGTGTCTTTGCTTTCTAGTGTGCTGTTCTATATGTAATGACCTTGCTTCTATGCATGTTAAAGGTTGGAGTGCAATAAACCACCAGCTTGTCTTTTGGCTTCAGCATCCAATAATACTGCTGTACATTCAGACTCGTGTGTTTTGTTTTTTTGTTTTTTTTTGTTAATTAGTGTTTAATAGCAAATTTTGCATTTTTTTTTCTAATCCATTTTGGGTCTTTTTCAACTTCAAAAATTCATAAACATTTTCAAAACATATAAGGAAAACCCAAAAGTTCCATAACTTTGTTACGCAGGACTTTTGACAGTTCTTTTCTGATCCCCATGGCTCAGTATCTAGCCTAGTCAGTGCTTCCACATAAGAGCTAACAAACTCATTGACTATTTATACACTGACACTAATTGCAATTTAAAAAGCCACAGATGTGGGACATTAACCTCTAATTGGCATTTTAACCCGTGTGTGTGTCTGTACCAAGGCCAAACATTCCAGGATGTGTAAACTTTTGATCATGGCCATTTGGGTGATTTCTGTTATTATGATTTAAAAAGGAGCCAAACAACGGTTTGACAATAAATAGCTTCATATGATCATCATCCTTCAATAAAAGAGCATTTTTTGACATGATCAGTCATATTTTCAATATCAATACCAAAATTTCACAATTTCTGCCAGGGTATGCAAACTTTGTGTGTGTAGTAGTAGTATTTTTATTATTATTATATTTTTTTTTTTTTTTTTTTTTACCAAGAAGGCAAAATCTTTTGAATAAAAATAAAACAGAATATAGCAGTACAAATAATTGCATTGTATAAAGATTATACAGAAATGGTAAGAAACCATTCAACAGAACCAAAAAAAATCAGCATGGTGACAAAATGAATAAAGATATCAATCATGACATGGAAGTAAGCTATAGGAGAAAATTTAACTGAAAAAAAACCTGAGCTACAGCTGGGGAGAGAATCCCCTTCAATACTCCTAATAATTTGTAGTGTTTGTTTCCAGTTGTTATATGTTTACATGTTTTGGTTTCATGATGTTTTCTAATGTGTACTTGTGTTGTGGTTTTTAGGCTGAACAGTGTCGAAAGTTGGCTACCGCTTTACAAAATCAGAAACCTGAACATCTCCTTCCTGTGCTCATTCAAGCTGCTCAGCTGTGTCGGGAGAAGCAGCATGCAAAAGCTATAGAGTTGCTGCAGGTAGAACTGTTGTTCCCTTTTATATTTTTTCAGATTCAGATCAAATGATGCATTTATAACAACGGGGCAATTTTTTTACATAGTTGAAAAAGTCCATCCAGTTCAACCACAGAGGAAAAAAAAAGACACACAAATTAACCAGTTAAGCTCCACCCTATAGCAGGTTTACTGCTACAGGGTGGCCGCTCTGCGTAAAATCATGTAAATATATACGTGATTTTGCATTTCTGGATAGGGGGCGAGTGTGCCATTGGTTGCAGCAGATGTTTGTCACCGGGTCCCGGCCGGTGATTTCTCAGCCGGCATTTGGTGATTGTGGCTAAAGCTGAGAGATCTGTGTTGTGTAAACAACACAGATCTCTCTCCTGTCAACATGGGCAAGCTGCTTTCTCTCTCTCTGTGAGAGAGAGAAAGCAGCATGTCTCCCTAGTAAAACAGCACACAGTGTAAGCACAACAGACAGTTAATCCTTTGATCGCCCCAGATGTTAACCCCTTCCTGCCCAGTGTCATTAGTACAGTGCTTTTTATTAGCACTGATCACTGTATTTGTGTCACTGGAGATGTCAGTGGTTGTTAATTAGTTCTCACCCAGTGTCAGAATGCCCACCGCAGTCCCATTATAAGTCTCTGATTGCTGCCATAACTAGTATAAAAAAATTTTTATAGACGCTATAACTTTCACATAAACCAATTAATTCACATGTATTTGGATTTTTTTAGTAGCAGAATACATTTTATTTTTATTTTTTTATTTGATGTTTTATAGCAAAGAGTCAAAAATATTGTTTGTTCTTTTCAAAATTGAGATGATGAAATACCAACAAAAGAAAGCTCTATATGTGGGGGGGGGTTACATAAATTTAATTTATGTACAGAGTTGCATGACCGTGCAATTGTCAGTTAAAGTAACGCAGCACCATATCGCAAAAAAATGGCCTGGTCAGCAAGGGGGGAAAATCGTCTGGAGGGCAAGTGGTTGGTTAAAAAACCCATATACATTATCCTATACCTACAGTTGATCCAGAGGAAGGCAAAAAAAACTCCATAAAATATGACTTAATTTGCTCCAGCAGGGGAAAAAAAACTATTTCTTTCAGATCCCCAAGAGGCAATCCGATATTCCCTGGATCAACTTTACCTATAATTATTAGTATCCAGTTATAATATGTGCATTTAGGAAAGAATCCAGGCCTTTTTTTTTTTTTTTTTTTTTACCAGTTTTGTCCTGGTTAACAAAGGCATTTTTACTTTGGAAGGTTTTGTACTCTAAATGTTTATAAAAATATATAACTAAGAAATAGATATCTCTATCTATCCAAGAAAGATCACAAAAGGACTCCATCCTCATCTACACAAAGATGAACAACTTTAAGAAATCTTTCCTGAACCACCTCTCCTAGCACATTGGCAAACCTAATCTAAAACCACTTGTTTTGAAAAGTTACAGATGAGATAGAACAGCTCCTAATGGCTATTTACGCCTCAGAGGACATCCCTGACCCACCGACGCAGGCCTCAGCCCAGGACAGGATGTATAGAGGGTTGGTGAAGCCGCATACCAGGGTACTACCCATACACCAGACTCTCAAAGATATTGTTTTGAGAGAATGGAAGGATCCTGAGAGGAGAGACTTAAAACTAACCCCTGGAAAAGACACTACCCCTTTGGGGAGGAGGAAAAAAAGAGAAATTCTTCAAGACCCCCTGTTTGGACGCAGCGCTATTGCAAGTGTCCAAAAAAGTCAAACCTGTCCCCCCAGAGACAGGGAAAAGGCAGAGGGTCTCTTGGGAGGGATCAGGGATTTAGCAGATCAGGAGGTAATTGTCCCGGTACAGATGGACCAGCTTTTTCGGGGATTCTATTCCCACATCTTTGTGGTCCCGAAGCCGTCGGGAAAATTCCGACTGATCATAAACCTAAAAAAGTTTAACGGGTTCCTGCTGTACAAAAAGTTCCGTATGATGGAGACTATTTACAGTATACACAAGCTTCTACTCAAGTGTTTATGGCCACGGTGGAACTCAGGTACGCCTACCTCCACATTCCCATTGCCCTGGAATACCGAGCCTTTGCTATATTCACGCAGGAAAGGGTCAGTCATTGCCAGTTCGGAGCCCTTCCATTCGGGCTGGCAGCCAGTCCGAGAATCTTCACCAAAGTCCTGGCTGAGTATTTACACCTCCCAGGGAATTTCCATCATCCCTTACCTAGATGACTTGTTGATCTACAGGTTCTCACAGCAACAAGTTCTGAGAGATATGGAAAAAGTAATCCTCACCTTGGAGTGGCTGGGATGGATCGTCAATCGGGAAAAGTCCTTAATTGACTCCCTCCCAGACCAAGCTGTTCCTGGGTTACATAGTGGACTCCAAGGTCCAGAGGCTCTTCTTACCCAGAGAAAAGATCGACAAGGTAGTGGGGGGCATTTCTGGGTGATAACGTCTCTAGATTGCTCCTGGTGGCTCATCATGTGAGTCATAGGGCTCATGACAGCCTCTATACCAGCTGTGGAGTGGGCGCAGCTGCATTCCAGGGAGCTCCAGTCCTTCCTCCTATCCTTGTAGGACAGGAAGACTGGTTCGCTGGATGAGAGGGTATCGCTCCCACAGAATACCAAATATTCTCTAAGATGGTGGATCAAGCCCTAGAATTTGGGGGGAGGAAGACCGTGGGTGCAGTGGGACCCAGTGCGGGTAACCTTGGACACAAGCCAGTTGGGCTGGAGAGCTTATATAGAGGATTGACAAGCTCGGGGCCCATGGGAGACGCACATAAGGGGGATCTCCTCCAAATACAGGGAGTTGTTGGCAGTAGGTCAGCCCTTGAAGTCTTTTGAGGACAGGATTGTTGGAAAGGATGTCCAAGTTCTGTCAGACAATACGTCGACAACAGCATACCTGAATCATCAGGGGGGCACCAGATCCCAAAAATGCCTGGACCTCGCTCAGGAGACTCTAGGCTGGGCAGGAAGCAGAGTTCTTTTAGTATCTTCTGCGGTCCACATAAAGGGCACGGAAAACACGAAATCAGACTTTCTCAGCCTACAGTTAATCCACCAGGGATAGTGGGAACTCAATCCCGAGGTCTTTTTTTCAGTTAAGTCTGGTTTTTGGCAACTTGGAAATAGACCTTTTTATCTGCAGGAAAAACAGGAAAGTAATGCGTTATTTTTCCATGGCCCGGGAATGAGGGTCTGAACGCAATCGTGCAGGAATGGGACTTCGGGTTGGCGTATGTATTCCCCCCTTTGGCATTGATTCCGCGAGTGCTACAGAAGTTGAGCCGGTCCAGTTGCAGATTGATCCTACTAGCCCCATGGTGGCTAAGAAGAGCCTGGTTCACCACCTTGAAGAGGTGGTCCATGGCTCCCCCGCAGCATCTTCTAGTCAGGAAGGATCTCCTCTTTCAGGAGCCAACACTGCACCTCAATCCGGAGCTTTTTTGCTTAATGGCTTTGCTCTTGAAAGGGAGATCCTCAAGAGAAGGGGGTGTTCCGAGAAGGTGATACACGCTTCTCTTCTTCAGTAGGAAACAATTAACCAGGAAGATATACGCCAAGCTGTGGGGGGTATTTTCTAGTTCGTGTAAAAAAAAAAAAATGGAGTCTGTCTTCCCATGGTTCTTGTGATCTTAGACTTCCTCCAGACAGGGGTGGATAAAGATGTAGCGGTAAACACCCAAAGGGTGCAAGTGGCAGCCTTATTGGTTTATTTAGACCATAAACTTGCTTCTGAGCCCCAATTAAAAGGTTTCTGTGGGCCAGGGAGAGAGTAACTCCTGTTAAGATTCATAGTTTTCCGGCTTTGGGATCAAATCTTGGTGTTAGAGGCGTTAACCAAGCCACCATTTGAGCCAGTGGCACAGATTTCAGTTAGGTTGTTATTGTTAGCCTTCCTGTTAGCTATCACTAAGGCCAGGAGGATAGGCGACCTTCAGAGCCTGTCGATCAAGGAATCCTTCCTGGTAGTATTAGAGGACAGGGTAGTGCTTGGACAGGATCCCCTTTTATTTGCCCAATGTGGCATCACGTTTTCACAGGACATAAGAGATTGTCCTACCATCCTTTTGTCAAAACCCTAAAAATGAAAGGAAAGAGGTGTTTTCTTTTTTTTTTTTTTTTTTTTAGATGTCAGAATGTGTTTTGATGACATTTAGAGTGACTTCAGGAAGTCGAGTTACCTTTTTTGATTTTATTTAGTGGTCCGAGGAAGGGTCAGCAAGCTTCTAAACCAACAATAGCCATATGGATTAGACAAGCGATTTCCTTAACTTATGAGCAATCAGTGGTCTCAGTTCCTTTACACCTGAGGGCTCACTTCACTAGATCATTGGCGACCTCTTGGGCAGAGAGGGCCGGAGCATCCATCGAACAGATCAGCCGAGTAGCCACATGGACAAGGTGGGACACCTTTGTGAGACACTACAGAATAGAGCTGTTGTCACCTCAGGACCTGGCGTTCGGCAAGAAGGTATTACAGCCAATAGTCCCACCCTAAGGTAGGCCTGAGCTCCTTGCTTATCGCCTCAGGTATGCTGTCCTGAAAGATGACTGATAGATCAACACGAAGTGGCACATAATTGTGAAGTGGAAGGAAAATGATAAATGATTTTCAATGTTTATAAAAATAACAGAATAACTAAATATTTGAAAAGTGTGGCATGCATTTGTATTCAGCCCTCCTGAGTCAATACTTTGTAGAACTTGCTTCTGAGCCCCTTTCACTGCAATTACAGCCACAAGTCTTTTTTGGTATGTCTCTACCAGCTTTGCATATCTAGAGAGTGACATTTTTGCCCATTCTTTGCAAAATAGCTCAAGCACTGTTAGATTTGATGGAGTGAACAGCAATTTTCAAGCCTTGCCACAGATTCTCAATTGGATTTAGGTCTGGACTTTGACTGGGCCATTCTAGCATGAATATGCTTTGATCTAAACAATTCCATTGCAGCTCTGGCTGTATGTTAAAGGTCGTCGTCCTGCTGGAATGTGAACCTCCGCCCCAGTCTCAAGTCTTTTACAGACTCTAACAGGTTTTCTTCTAAGATTTCTCTGTATTTGTCTCCATCCATCTTCCCAACAACTCTGACCAGCTTCTTTGTCCCTGCTGAAGAAAAGCATTCCCACAACCTGATGCTGCCACCACCATGTTTCACGGTGGGGATGGTGTGTTCAGGGTGATGTGCAGTGTTAGTTTTTAGTTACACATAGCGTTTTGCTTTTAGGCCAAAAAGTTCAATTTTGGTCTCATCTGACCTAAGCACCTTCTTCCACGTTTGCTGTATTCCCCACATGGCTTCTCACAAATTGTAAATGGAACTTCTTATGGCTTTCAACAATGGCTTTCATCTTCCCACTCTTCCATAAAGGCCAGATTTGTGGAGTGCACGACTAATAGTTTTCCTATGGACAGATTCTCCCACCTGAGCTGTGGATCTCTGCAGCTCCTCCAGAGTTACCATGGGCCTCTTGGCTGCTTCCCTGATTAATGCTCTCCTTTCCCGGCCTGTCTGTTTTAGGTGGACGGTCATGTCTTGGTATGTTTCCACTTTCGGATGATGGATTGAACAGTGCTCCGTGAGATGTTCAAAGCTTGGGATTTTTTTCATAACCTAACCCTACTTTTAACTTCTCCACAACTGTATCCCTGACCTTTCTGGTGTGTTCCTTGGCCTTCATGATGCTGTTTGTTCACTAATGTTCTCTGACAAACCTCTGAGGGCTTCACAGAACAGCTGTATTTGTACTTAGATTAAATCACACACAGGTGGACTCTATTTACTAATTAGGTGACTTCTGAAGGCAATTGGTTCCACTAGATTTGAGTTAGGGGTATCATAGAAAAGGGCACTGAATACACGTGCACGCCACACTTTTCAGATATTTATTTGTAAAAAAAATTTAAAACCATTTCTCCTTTTCATTCCACTTTACAATTATGTGCCACTTTGTGTTGGTCTATCACATAAAATCCCAATAAAATACATCTTACGCTTTTGGCTGTAACATAAGGGGAAGTAATACTTTTTCAAGTCACTGTATTTCCTAGTCAGCCCAAAATACACTAACACTAGCTCAGGTTACTTACAATACCAAATACCATTCAGGTTTAAAATATACAGTGGGTATAAAAAGTCTACACACCTCTGTTAAAATGTCAGGTTTCTGGGATGTAAATCTATGAGACAAAGATAAATAATTTCAGAATTTTTTCCACCTTTCATGTGACCTCTAAACTGTGCAATTCAGTTGAACAACAAACTGGAAAATTTTAGGTGGAGGGAAGTAGAAATACAAAAACTAAAATTAATGTGTTTGCATAAGTGTGCACACCCCACTTTGCTGAAGCACCTTTTTCCCTTTTTTTTTTTTTTTTTTTTTTTTTTTTTTTTTTTTTTTTTTTTTTTTACAGCACTCAGTCTGAGTTGAGTGTGAGTCTGTCAGTATGGCACATCTTGACTTGGCAATATTTGCCCACTCTTCCTTGCAAAGACACTCCAAATATGTCAGATTGTGAGGGCATCTCCTGTGCACAGAGCCCTCTTCAGATCACCCCACAGATTTGCGCCATATTTTCTCCACTTGATGATGACTTTCCTCACAGTGTGCCATGGTATATCTAATGCCTTGAAAATTCTTTTGTACCCTTTTCCTGACACCTTTTAAAAATGAGATCCTTCTGATGCTTTGGAAGCTTTCTGCAGACCATGGCTTTTGCTGTAGGATGCGACTAAGGAAATGTCAGGAAAGACCTACTAGAACAGCTGAACTTTATTTGGGGTTAATCAGAGGCACTTTAAATGATGACAGGTGTGTACTGTCTCCTAGTTAACATGATTTTGAATGTGATTGCTTAATTCTGAACACAGCTACATCCCCAGTTGTAAGAGGGTGTGCACACTTATGCAATCGCATTATTTTAGTTTATGTTTACCCCCCAAAATATTTCAGTTTGTTTTTTCAATGGAGTTGTACAGTTTATCAGTCACATTAAAGGTAGAAAAAGTTCTGAAATGATTTATCTTTGTCTCATTGTTTTACATCACAGAAACCTGACATTTTATCAGGGGTGTGTAGACTTTTTATATCCACTGTAGTTTTACTTAATCGCTTTCCCTGGTTTATGAACATTTTTAGAAGTACCCTCATTTTAGGTGAGAACTAGTGTCCCAGTTGGAACATTTTTCCTATATTGCTTTTGTGGTGACAACCCAAAATTTTTATATTTTCTTTCACTTTCAGTGATAACAGTAAACAGGACAGACAGAGATGGTGAATATCCCTAATGGGGGACACAGACAGCAATAAACCCTGACCAGGGGTTCTAATTTTTCCACACTCTATCCAAAAAAAAGTTTTGCCTTTATACTTTAACCTGCAAACTTTCTGCATTAATAAATGGCTAACATGGTAATTGTACAGTCAGGCTAGTGACCTGATTTCCTCTGCACTTATGCATTAAAGCGAAGTCAATTTTACTTCCAATCTGAGATTTGAAGGTGAAGTGCAGCAGCAGCTGACCACCTGCTCACATTGCTCTCTTCTGTCAGGGAATTCCTTGCCATGCAGCATAATTGATTAACAGACACTTATAGTAATGCTGTACAGGGTATTACAAGAGACTGATATATTAACTTGTTGCCGACCGCAGATAGCCGAATGACGGCTGCACTGCAGCCGGCCAGTTCTGAGTGGACGTCATATGACGTCCCCCCAGAACGCGCTCTCCTGCGCGCCCCAGGGTGCGCGCACCCGGCGATCTCCGTGATCGCTGTGTCCTACGGACACAGCTGATCACGTGATGTGGTAAAAGGCCAATCACAGCGGCCTTTTACCACCTGATCAGCGGTGTCCAATGACACGCTGATCAGAGGGAAATGCAAGTGCCGGTTCTCGGATGCACTTTCCTCACGCTGTCAGATCGTGAGGAAAGTACTGCCGAGAACCGGCAGTTGTCAGAGCGGGGATCGGCACCGATCATCAGGGCACTGATGATCGGTGCCCAGCAGTGCCACCCGCAAGTTCCGCCCACCTGTGCCCTGCAGTGCGCCCACTAGCTCCGCCCACCTGTGCCCAGCAGTGCACCCACCTGTGCCACCCTGCAATTTCACACACCTGTGCCCAGCAGTGCCACCCACCTGTGCCCAGCAGTGCCACCCACCTGTGCCCACCCACCAGTGCTGCCCACCAGTGCCACCCACCAGTGCAGCCAGTCAGTGCCACCAGTCAGTGCCCAGCGGTTGTGCCAGTCAGTGCCCAGCAGTGATGCCAGTCAGTGCCGTCTATCAGTACCCATCATTAGTGTCACCTATCAGTGCCGCCTATCAGTGCTGCATATTAGTGCCGCCTATCCATGACACCTCATTAGTACTGCCTATCAGTGCCGCCTATCAGTGCCCATCAGTGCTGCCTCATCAACGCACATCAGTGAAGGAGAAAAATTACCTGTTTGAAAAATTTTATAATAGAAACAAAGAAACTTTTTTTTTTTTTTTTTTTCAAATTTTTGGCAATTTTTTTATTTATAGCACAAAAAGTAAAGCGCCCAGTGGCGATTAAATACCACCAAAAGAAAGCTCTATTTGTGAGAAAAAAATATCAAAATTTCATATGGGTACAATGTTGCATGACCGCGCAATTGTCAATCAAAGTGCGGCAGCGCTGAAAGCTGAAAATTGGCCTCGTAAATAAGGGGGTATAAGTGCCTGGTAGGCAAGTGGTTAAGTGACTAAGCTTTCTGATATTCCCCCCTTCTTCTCTTTTAATGTTTCCTTTTTTCACAGGAATTCGCTGACCTGCATCCTGATAATGCAGCACAAATCAAACTTACAATGGCACAGCTAAAACTTGCACAAGGTTTGTGTTTAATTCTATAAAATTTTGGAATATGTTACCCTTTTCTTGCATGTTAACTTGTAATATTTCTTGTGCAGGTAATGTAACCAAGGCATGTATAATTATGAAAAGTATCAAAGAACTGGAACATAAGCCTGGCATGGTAAGTTTAAATAAGCCAGTGTCTCTCAGTTAATGCAAAAGTACAGTGAAATACTTCAGTTGATATATGGATGGGTAATGCTACCAACATGCACATGTTAAACCTGCACACTTAGAAAAACATTGCTCCACAATAGCTCTGTATGTTTACTTATGTTAGTCTTCCATACATTGTGTACTTGATTGATTCTAAGACCATGGGTTATATGCTATTACCTCCAGGCGACAGGATACTGGTCATCCCCCAGTGTATCCATATAACCTTAACAACTCTTGTGAGGCTGCAGTATTTTGCTAGTGTTTTTAGGTGATTGACTTTTTTTTTTTTTTACCAGTTTTCCTTTCTATGACTGACTTTTTTCTATCAAGACCTGGCTACTTATTGCCTTAGGGCTCAGTAGCAGTTTCTGGATCAGTTACCCTTAGTGTAAACTTTAGGAACTGTACCAGTAGCCCATGGCGGCAGGGCCAATTTGTAATGTTTTTTGCTTCGGGTACTGGATCCTATGTTATGGTGCAATGAATGTAATTATTATTGTACAGGATTTATATAGCACCAACAGTTTGCTCAGTGCTTTACAATATCAAACGGGAGACAATACAGCAACAATACAGTTCAATACAAGAGGGATAGGAGGGCCCTGCTCCTTGGAGTTTACAATCTAAGAGGGTAGTTAGGTGTAGAGTGCTACACAGGTTCATGGCCTTGGTCTAATTCTATGACACTCAAACTCTGAAGACCCCTTCAGGGGTATGCCCACTGTGATGGGCAAAGCCTGGACCCTGGCTGGGACCAGCAACATGGAAAGGGAAGACAGGGTTTCCCTGCACCTCCCATTAACTCCTTTATCCTAAAAGACACGCCTTTATCCTTTAAAGACACAATAAGACTCTTCCAGACACACTTTCAGCTGACCACACAAGTTGATTGTTTGCAGTCTCACCTGCTATCTAATACTTTAGAGACAATTACAAGAACTCGGTTACCACCTGAGTTCTTCTTATTCCTTCATACAGACATGCTGAAACCCCCTCAATCTGCATCCATTCTGTGAGTACTCCACAGGGGAAGTATCTCACATAGCAATGCAAATTACATGCGCATAGGAACATATGGGACAGGTAATGAGAATTCTACTGCAGGTCCTGAGGAAACTCCTGTTCTGTTCATAGCTGTTCCCTTGTTCTGGAGCAAGGTCTTAAAATGATGCTGTTCCAGTCCCAGAAGCGGGCTACCTCACAGATGCACAACATGCGGCCTGACTGACTAAAGCAGAATTCAATGCTCCTATATCTGATCTACTCCAAAGGCTATAGCCACTTCTGGAAATGGCGGGTACAGCATTCCTGCCTCTCTGACTATATTTATGCATTAGCACTTCAATTGCTTGGTATACTTATATTCACAGAATGTAACTTTTTTTTTTTTTTTTTTTTTTAAGTACAGGCTGACTATTTTTACCACCACAATTTCGTGAAGTTAATCCTCAGCTTCTCATCATAGTTTTGTACAGTGGACTCATTGTTTGAGGCAGTACATACTAGTTGCTGGCTAGATGCCCCTAGTCCTGCACAGCATCTACATTCCATTAGGCTCAAGAAAGAAAGCAATACATAGAAAGCTTTTCCCTATTCTTGATCAAGCCAATTGGGTTCTATGTTTTTAGACTGGCTCAACCCCCAGAGGTTATTCACTCCTAGCATATTTGCTGCTTTGCACCCTAAGGAAGGGGAATTCAAAAAGTGTTGGTCTGTTCCCACAGTGGATCTAGCCAGTATTTACTTTCTGTGCATATATGCAGAAATTTCAAGCTTGGCCTGGTAAACCTGTTTGGGAAAGTTTGCACATGCCCTATGCAGGTGACCTCCTCTTTGAAAAATCCCTTGAAGAATACATTGAGGTGGTTATGGAGGGAAGGGGAGTTCCTACCCTATTATCCACAATTGCACTTCCCAATTGATTTGTCCCCTTCTACCTTACTATGTGTTCACTCTTTCCAGGCATCATCATCTACTGCAAGTCCATCCTTCCAGTGCAGACCCTTCACCTCTCATTCCACTAAATCTGCTAGAGGCCTTCTTCACAATGAAGGTTTGCCTCTATCCATGGAGATGGGGGGCCTCTCCTGATAATTGCTGCAGCTTAGAGCAGAGTAATCCTGGCCTTTTTTATTTCATTCTGTCTTTTGGAAAGGTACACAAAGATTCGCTATTGCTATTTTGTACTACCTGTTCCTACCTACTGCTTCACAAAAAGAAGCTTCCCCACACTTCCTTGCAGCTTTACAATCAGAAGATGTGATTATGTCCTCCTTTCTTTTTTTTTTTTTTTTCTTTTTCTTTATGGTCACTAAGGCTGACTCACTATATGGAGAAATTTGCTGCACTACCAAGAGACATTTTTACCTTTTTTACTACTTACTGCCTCAACACATCTTCTTGGTTACAACCTCAGGTCCTGCTCTAAACTTAATATATCCTCTCCTGCCAGTATCAGGGTTGCTGATTAGCAAGTTATTCGTGTTTTATATGGACTGAAAAACTTCTTGCCCTGTACTTGGGGCTTTTATTCTGCTTTTTTTTTTCCTCTTCACATGCTGCCTGTGGGTACCTTTTTGTGTGCCACTCTTATCAGTTTTATGACTGCCGTACAGCCTTTGCCTGTATAATTTGCTTATGTCCACCAAATTCAAAACCTGTAAGTCTGTATCCCCACTTTCTCTGGAGTATACTGGTTGCTTGCATACTCTGCAATCTTTAACATGGGGTAGTTCTTACCTAATATGATGATTGGGAACTCCCACATCTTCTGATTGGATTTTCAAGCACCTAGCCTTTAGTACGCTGCAGGTTTGGGTTTAAAGGGATGAGGTGGCAACCCTAGGAACTAGTATCCTGAAAGTCAGTCCTCCTTGCTTCCCTGGTGCTGTTTGTGTCATCTTCTGCGAGCATTTAATTCTGCTCCCCATGTCCCGTCCCCTCACCATGCCATATCATTTTTGGTTTGCCATATGGGTTGGGTCAGGAGTGTTGGGAACTGACTTCTCCTTTGTTGTTCTGCAGGGCAGAAATTTGTCTTTACTATTAAAGTAGTGTCTATTCACATTTTTGGCTTGACATGCACTTTTGAGGCTATCCATACGCAAGAGGGAAGTTGGAACATCAACCACTAATTAAACATAAGAATGCATCTCTGTAGCTCAGCCATATTTCAGAAAATCCATGAAATCCAGTTTTAGCACCGTGTCTTTAGGATATTAGGTCTGTAGTATGTAGTCAGGTCCATAAATATTGAGACATCGACACAATTCTAACATTTTTTGCTCTATACACTGCCACAATGGATTTGAAATGAAACAAACAAGATGTGCTTTAAATGCAGACTGTCAGCTTTAATTTGAGGGTATTTACATCCAAATCGGGTGAACGGTGTGTAGGAATTACAACAGTTTGCATATGTGCCTCCCACTTGTTAAGGGACCAAAAGTAATGGGACAGAATAATAATCATAAATCAAACTTTCACTTTTTAATACTTGGTTGCAAATCCTTTGCAGTCAATTACAGCCTGAAGTCTGGAACGCATAGACATCACCAGACGCTGGGTTTCATACTGGTGATGCTCTGCCAGGCCTCTACTGCAACTGTCTTCAGTTCCTGCTTGTTCTTGGGGCATTTTCCTTTCAGTTTTGTCTTTAGCAAGTGAAATGCATGCTCAGTCGGATTCAGGTCAGGTGATTGACTTGGTCATTGCATAACATTCCACTTCTTTCCCTTAAAAAACTCTTTGGTTGCTTTTGCAGTATGCTTTGGGTCATTGTCCATCTGCACTGTGAAGCGGCGTCCAATGAGTTCTGAAGCATTTGGCTGAATATGAGCAGATAATATTTCCCGAAACACTTCAGAATTCATCCTGCTGCTTTTGTCAGCAGTCACATCATCAATAAATACAAGAGAACCAGTTCCATTGGCAGCCATACATGCCCACGCCATGACACTACCACCACCATGCTTCACTGATGAGGTGGTATGCTTAGGATCCTGAGCAGTTCCTTTCCTTCTCCATACTCTTCTCTTCCCATCACTCTGGTACAAGTTGATCTTGGTCTCATCTGTCCATAGGATGTTGTTTCAGAACTGTGAAGGCTTTTTTAGATGTCGTTTGGCAAACTCTAATCTGGCCTTCCTGTTTTTGAGGCTCACCAATGGTTTACATCTTGTGGTGTACCCTTTGTATTCACTCTGGTGAAGTCTTCTCTTGATTGTTGACTTTGATACACATACACCTACCTCCTGGAGAGTGTTCTTGATGTGGCCAACTGTTGTGAAGGGTGTTTTCTTCACCAGGGAAAGAATTCTTCGGTCATCCACCACAGTTGTTTTCCGTGGTCTTCCGGGTCTTTTGGTGTTGCTGAGCTCACCGATGCGTTCCTTTTTTTAAGAATGTTCCAAACAGTTGTTTTGGCCACGCCTAATGTTTTTGCTATCTCTCTGATGGGTTTGTTTTGTTTCTTCAGCCTAATGATGGCTTGCTTCACTGATAGTGACAGCTCTTTGGATCTCATCTTGAGAGTTGACAGCAACAGATTCCAAATGCAAATAGCACACTTGAAATGAACTCTGGACCTTTTATCTGCTCATTGTAATTGGGGTAATGAGGGAATAAACACACACCTGGCCATGGAACAGCTGAGAAGCCAATTGTCCCATTACTTTTGGTCCCTAAACAAGTGGGAGGCACATATGTAAACTGTTGTAATTCCTACACCGTTCACCCGATTTGGATGTAAATACCCTCAAATTAAAGCTGACAGTCTGCAGTTAAAGCACATTTTGTTCATTTAATTTCAAATCCATTGTGGTGGTGTATAGAGCCAAAAATGTTAGAATTGTGTTGATGTCCCAATATTTATGGACCTGACTGTAGACACTGTAAACCCTCTGACCCACAATCTTTAGGTAGCCTAAGATAGAGGTATAGCTTTTTATGTATATTTTTTTCTTTTTACATGCATTACCTGAAGTATGTTCAAGGAATATCTTTGTTATGAAAAATTCACCTAGATCTCCTAATCATATGTAAAAATCTTGTGAAATTGTTTGTTTGTTTTTTTTGTGGCCATATTTCATATTCATATATTTAAAAATTTTTATATATACTATTTTTTTTTTTTTTTTTTTTTTTGCCCTAAGTACTGAAAATGTTCTTTAATACCCATATGCAGGTGTCTGCCCTTGTTAGTATGCACAGTCATGATGAGGATATTGACAGCGCCATAGAGGTCTTCAACCAAGCTATTAGCTGGTATCAGGAAAATCAAGTGAGAGCTTTGTTCATTTATGTGAAAATCAGAATTTAAAAAGGATATTTGTGCAGAAGAATAACATGTTGCCTATAATGTTTGTATTGAGAACCAAAAAGCATGTTTGAGAATGGTTGAAGAAATCTCTCTCCAGGTCATATCATGCCCACACACACCAGAATATCTTTTTTGCTTTGACCGAGGTTTCAGTAGACAGGTTTGACCTCCATAAACATATGGTCAAAGCTTGAAAGAACCATACATTGGGCTCCAGATCTAGATCGACATTTTCAGAAAGCTATTGGATGACTGGATGATGCAAAACAGGTAGATGTGATATGAGAACCTGTTGGCTAAAACCTGGAGTTTAGGTTAGAGCCCATCCTTCACCAGTGATCCCTGACACAAGTGTAATTGTAGTGGACTGTTTGTACTATTTGAAATATGTGGTACTCTGTATTACCCAACTAACCCTGTGCAACCTAGATCATATTAGACTGCAATAAACCAAAATAATTCCTGAACAGTGTATAAAAATGGTACACACGTATGCCAAAAGATCATTTCTTGATGAAAAAGTTATTTCTTAAAAATATCTAAGGTTTTAGGAGTAAATACTTAAAATAACACTCCTTTCCTTGTTTTTGCTTTTTATGAGGTTGTTTAGTCAGGAAGTCAAAAGCTGGAAAATGTCACCTCATATTCTACCACAAGGTCGAATATTTAGCATTTTTGCTATTCAGCACTATGTTACTTGCACAGGTTGTCTAGTCATGCAACACTGTACCCAAATAGATTTTATAGAATTTTTTTTTCACATACATAGAGCTTCTTTTGGTGTTATTTAATAATCACTGGGATTTTTATTTTTTATTCTATAAATAAAAAAATGTGGAAAAATAAACACATTTTTCCTAGTTTGTTATAAAATTTTGCAAGCAAAATCTTACTTCATAAATTTATGCTAAAATGTAGTATGCTACATTTCTTTGGTTAATACCCAAATCAGTGTATATTAATCTGTGGTGTGTGTGTGTAAATATAATAGTACATTCACATCAGTCCCTAACCCTCAAGGGGTGTACAATCTAAGGTCCCTAACTCACATTCATACATACACATACTAGGGCCAATTTATACAGGATCCAGTTAACTTACCAGCATGTCTTTGGAGTGTAGGAGGAAACCGAAGTACCCAGAGGAAACCCCGCAGGCACAGGGAGAACATGCAAACTCCAGGCAGACACACACCAAAAAGTATAGGGACACCCCTCCAAATCATTTGGATTCAGGTGTTCCAATCACCTCTGTGGCCACAGGTGTATAAAATCAATCAGCCAACAGGGGTGTGGAAAGTAAAATAGAAAAAAAATGCTTGTGCAAAGGACCAAATCGGGGTCCAAATCTACTTGTTCTGAAAAAAAAAATTATGATCATTTTAACCAAAACTGTATTTAAATAAGGTATTAATTGATCGCAAGAGAAAGGTTGATGTTTTTTATTAGGCAGAGGTGCTTTTAAGAATGTCTGGGGCTCTTTGGTGACTTAAAGGATAACTTCACATTTTAGACAAAAACACATTTTACAGGCAAAAAAATTTACATTTTAGTATTTTTGTCTGCAGGAGCCTGGAAAGTGGTGCACCAGCAATCAGTACATCGCTGATGCCATGCAGGTCTCCTAAGGGAACTCTTAAGGCGTCGGCATACCAAGACATTTTGGACAATATCATGCTTCCAACATTGTGGGAACAGTTTGGGGATACCCATTCCTATTCCAACCCTTCCCAAAGGGTCCACCTAGTTCTGGATCCATTCCCATATCTGGTGGGGGTAACCCAGGTGCAACATTTAGAGAGGTGTAGACAGGGCCAGCGTCACCATGAGGCAGCCCCCCCCCCCCCCCCCTAAGGGTCCGCCTAGTTCTGGATCCATTCCCATATCTGGTGTGGGGACGGCAGCTGGTGTGGGTACCCCCCAGGTGCAACATTTAGAGAGGTGTAGACAGGGCCAGCATCACCATAAGGCAGCCCCCCCCCCCCCCCCGCACCAAGGAGGAGAGAGGGCACAGCTTGGAGGTTTTGGTTTGCCTGCTGTTTAGCTGCTGTCACTGAGAAAGCAGGGGGAACAGATCCAAGCATGCAGAGCAGGGAGAACAGATCCAAGCATGCAGAGGAGGACAGAGTGGTGGGTGGATCCCGATCCTAAATGTGTGCAGACAGTGAGCTGGTTGCTGCAGCTGCCACCGGAAATCCTGCTGGAGATATTCTCCTGCCTATGTGAAACACAGCTAACCCTCCTGTCCCTGGTGCTGCAGGACCAATGAGATGTAGGGGATTATGTGTGTGATAGGAGAGGAGGGTATCTGGGGAGAGTGATCAGAGTGCAGGATATGGGTGGGGTATCTGGAGGTGTGATCAAATTGAGTGATGGGGGGTTTGATCAGAGTGAAGGAATCTGGTGGGGGATCTGCAGGTGTAATCAGATTGGAGGTATGGGTGGGAGGTCTGGAGGTGTGATCAGAGTGGAGCGATTGGGGGGGTATCTAGGGGTGTGATCCGAGTGGGGGTATCTAGGGGTGTCATCAGAGTGGGGGGTGTTTATCTAAAAGCCCATGGGTTGGGGGGGCACAAATTACATGCCTTGCCCCAGGCACTGACCACTTGCCACTAAAGGAAGAAATTTTCTGAAGCCATATCTGGACGGTTTGACCAGCTCTTAGCGGTCCTCACTGGCTTTAAATGCCTTGAACACAACTGTCGGTGCTCTCCTTCCCCTCCTCTCCTCCTCCCACTCCTGAGGGAGTATACGGCATTGGAGGAAATTCCTCAGGATGAGGAAGAGGTGGATGCTGTTGAATCTTTAACAGTGTAATGTATGCCAGTTGGGCTCACCCAGATAAGGGTTTTTGAACACCAAAGTGTTTTGTTCATCAGTACCCCATGGAGAAGGTAATAAAAAAAAACAAAACAACAAAAACCCCTGGGTTCTCCTGCTGTTGACTCGGCTATCGAGAGGTTAGAGGCCCTCTTTAATTTTTCATTCTCTCTGGTAGGACTGGCTCTGCAGCCTGCGGTGGCTGCAGTTGGAGTCGGCCAAACCCATAAAGCGAAACTTAACTGTATCCGAGCACCACAAACCAAAAAAATGCTATTTAATAAATTTTTAATATTCAAACCAAACTCACCCATCCATGTCTCGATGCTTTATTTCATTGAGAAATGGCTTTGAAAAATAACCCTTTAGCATTTCTATCTAAGCCTTCTTGAGTAAGGGCAGTGATTCATGTAAAAAAAAATTTCCTGGAATTCATCTGCCCTAACGCCAGGCAGGAGGCTTGTTTAGTTGAGCAAGCCCCCTCCTCCTACCCTCAAAACAAAAGGAGGAAAAAAACACCCATGAAGACTCTTTGGACGTATGACATCATTTTGGTCTAGGTTAGAAACCAGGAAGAAGCTGTAAAAAAAAAAAAAAAGTTTAATTCAAGTAAATATAATATACTGTACCTTCCTATTTCTTACCAAGGTTAGCAGCATAAAAATAGTTGACTGAGGGAGTAAAGTTCCATCTTAAAATCTGGGCGATAAGTATGTTCCATTCCAGGGAATCAGACCTGGAAGATCTTCCATTTGGTAGTTCCCTGAGGACTTTCCTGGTGCTGTGAGTTCTTCTTGGTTTTCTTCCTGGATGCCTTGGAAGACTCCATAAGGCAGCTTTTATGGGTAGACTCTATGGGGGAGATTTACAAAAACTGGAGAGTGCAAAATCTGGTGCAGCTCTGCATAGAAACCAATCAGCTTCCAGGTTTTATTGTCAAAGCTTAATGGAACAAGCTGAAGTTAGAAGCTGGTTGGCTACCATGCACAGCTGCACCAGAGCACCAGTTTTAGTAACTCTCCCCCTTATGACTTTATGTAGATTTGTCAGTTATCTTTTTAGGCCTGTGGTATCAAGGGCAAGCTTCTTCCTTTCCTGTTCAAGGGCCCTTCTATCAGAAATGTCAGTGCTTCCTAGGCTTTTAAGCATCTGTGTTTCAAGTTTGTAAGACTACTACCTGGTCTTTTCTTCACACACGGGTAAACATCTACCTGACAGACCCTCTCTATGGATGCCAGTTTTGGGAGGAGCGTCTTGCAGGCAGTTTTGAAGTGATATTCCCCCTCACTGCTTTAGGCATGCTGCTCATCCCTCATGTTTAGTGCTTTTGAGACATCCCAAATAGTCATAATTATCAAAGCCCTCTGTATCCTGTGATTGTGTGATTTAGGAAATTGGGGATATTTCATTTACCTGTAAACTATTTTCCTTAGAGTATGTCACTGAACACAGAGATCCTCGTCTCTTGTTTGCGTCCTCATGGCTTGCTTCAAATCCGTGGCTTAGCTGGAGGGTTTATGCCTGGGCAGGGAATCTTGCCTCCGTTATTTTTTTTCTTTTTCTTTTTTTTTTTTTTTTTTTAATGGCCATTGTCCATTAACCTGAAGGTGGCCGCATAATCCAAAATGGCCACAAATGTCAAAGTCCTCTGTGGTGTACTCTAAGAAAAGGATTTTGCTAATTTGTTTTTTTTTTTTTTTTGGGGTAACTGACAATTTTCATTGGACATGGGATAGGTCCAAGCTCTATGAAGTCCTACCTTTTGTAACAGAGAAGTTTATCTAATGGAAACACACAGAAGAGGCTTTACTGGCCTACAGAAGTAAGGCCTGGTTCACACTACTCAAGCTCTGCGAGCCGCGGTTTTTGCAGACGAGACAGTCTATTCATTTGAAAATGGGCTGCTGTGCTTCTGAAAATGCAGGGAATAGGTCTTTGCATCATCATACAGGTGCCATTATAATTAATGGCACCCACTCGCATCTTCTGCGGTTTTCTGTGCGAGTGGATGTAGCTGTGGGAACAGGTGAGGTCCTGCAGCAACAATCACCCATACAGGTGTAAACCAAGCCTAATAGCAGACACCTTGTGTTGGATTTTTACTTTTAAAAGTTTGTTATAACTGTATTTATATTTGATAGGTGCACTGTTATTCTGGAGAGCCCATAACATTTTAGAGTCCAAAAGTATTGGGACGCCTGTCTTTACACGCACATGAACTTTAATAGCATCCCAGTCTTAGTCCGTAGGCTTCAATATTTAGTTGGCCCACCCTTTGCAGCTATAACAGCTTCAACTCTTCTGTGAATGCTGTCCACAAGGTTTAGGAGTGTGTCTATGGGAATGTTTGACCATTCCTCCAAAAGCGCATTTGTGAGGTCAGGCACTGATGTCGAACAAGAAGGCCTGGCTCGCAGTCTCCACTCTAATTCATCCCAAGGGTGTTCTATCAGGTTGAGGTCAGGACTCTGTGCAAGCCAGTCAAGGTCCTCCACCCCAAACTCACTCATCCATGTCTTTATGGACCTTGCTTTGTGCACTGGTGCGCAGTCATGTTGGAACAGGAAGGGGCCATCCCCAAACTGTTCCCACAAAGTTGAGAGAATGAAATTGTCCAAAATGTCTTGGTATGCTGATGCCTTAAGAGTTCCCTCCTCTGGAACTAAGGGGCCAAACCCAACCCCTGACAAAAACAACCCCACACCATAATCCCCCCTCCACCAAACTATACACTTGGCATGCAGTCAGGTAAGTACCGTTCTCCTGGCAACCACCAAACCCAGACACGTCCATCGGATTGCCAGAGAAGCAGGATTCGTCACTCCAGAGAACACGTCTCCACTGCTCTAGAGTCCAGTGGTGGCGTGCTTTACACTACTGCATCAAATGCTTTGCATTGCACTTGGTGATGTAAGGCTTGGATGCAGCTGCTCGGCCATGGAAAACCCATTCCATGAAGCTCTTTATGCACTGTTGTTGTGCTAATCTGATGGCCACAAATAGTTTAGCTATTGGCTCTGCAGACAGTTGGCTACTTCTGCACACTGTACACTTCAGCATGCACTGACCCTGCTCTGTCATTTTATGTGGCCTACCACTTCGTGGCTGAGTTGCTGTTGTTCCCAGTTGCTTCCACTTTGTTATAACACCACTAACAGTTGACCGTGGAATATTTAGTAGCAAGGAAATTTCATGGATGGCCTTATTGCACAGGTGGCAACCTATTCCAGTACCACACTTTAATTCACTGAGCTCCTGAGAGAGACCCATTCTTTCACAAATGTTTGTAGAAGCAGTCTGCATGCCTAGGGGCTTGATTTTATACACCTGTGGCCATCGAGGTGATTGGAGCACCTGAATCCAATGATTTGGAGGGGTGTCCCAATACTTTTGGCAATATAGTGTATATGTGAAATCTCATTTTCTGTTTATTACTGATCCTCAGCTCTATCTAGTGGCCATAATGCTGTATTTTCAGACAATGCATTGTGGCCACTAGATGGAACTCATGATAATAGGAAACATAAATTGACATTTCAAACATATTAAAGACTCAAAACAGCTGTGTGAATCTATTAGCATATAGTCCCTGAAATGAGCGAAACTTAAAGCGGAGCTCCACCCAAAAGGGAAAGTTCCGCTTTCAGCCTTTGTCCCACTCCCCATTAAGGACTGGCACCTTTTGGTGAGAAGGTAAGTTCACCTTTTTACAAAGAAAAATAAATGTACATTGTACAAAAAAAAAGTGCATTTATTATTTTTTTTGTTTCTGGAGCCTCTAATGCAAGCTGATCGCTTGTGCTGTGCAGGTCTCTTGCAGACCTGTTTGTGTATCTGTGTGCCTGAACATCCCATACGGGCAAGCAGATACACACTAACAGGAAGACTTGAACTACCACGGCTCTACATCGTCATGGTATTTCATTGAGAACCACAAGCCGACAGCCGCTAAGGCTGATGGAACCTGTAGTGTTCTCATTCACAGAGTACTGTGAATGCACGACATGCCCACATTTAAAAAAAAATTGTGACAGCTAGTGGTGGCGGGGGGGGGGGGGGGGAGAGCATCCCCCGCTGTCACAATAGGGATGCAGGGGGGTTGCAGGGGCCAGTCCGTATGTAATTTGTTACACCCTGAATATGGGTGAACTTATCATTTTACGCTAAGTCTTGCTTTTATTCTTTACTTTTAACAGAGAGAATTGTAGCTTCATTTGCAAACAATACACATTTGTTCTTGTAACAGTTTTGTAATTTGTTGACAGCCAAATTCTCCAGCTCACCTCTCATTAATAAGGGAAGCTGCTAATTTCAAATTGAAGCATGGACGAAAGAAGGAAGCAATCAATGATCTCGAGCAAATATGGAAGTAGGTGTTTTGATATGGTATAATTTTTTTCTTCTGTAATGGATGCAAGCCATAACTGATTGCTTTTGCGCATTGCAGGCAGAATCCCAAGGATACCCATACTTTGGCTCAACTCATCTCTGCATACTCACTCGTGGATGCTAATAAAGCAAAAGTGTATCCTTCCCATATTTTATTTCTGAACTTGAATGTTATTTTAGTATTGTGACATGTTCCCAGTTGTTCATCCCTCTTTTCCTACATGAACTATTTCTATTCTATCCTTACATAAACAAATGCAGTCTAAGCGAACATTTACCCTCTTCAGACACTATGCGCTTAAAAGTGGATGTGGATGCCTTAGAAAACTCAGCTGGAGTCACGTTTATTCGAAAGAAGCCTGCTAAAGCTGCTGGAGAGCAAGCTAAGGAACAAGGGTATGTTGATTTGAAACAAAGGACAAAGCCGCAATCCATAAAGTCTCACAGGAAAGTTTTTTTAATCAAAGCAATTGGCTTCCGACACAGGCCCTAAGCCAAGCCCTCTGACATATTTCACTCCGACTGGGCTTATTCGTAAAGCTAACAATGTACTGTAGATAGAAGAGTTGAGCTTTTTGCAAGTAACTTTTGGTGCTTGTTCATATACAAAATGTTTACCGTTATTCAAATTTCAACAGATTTCTATTAAATTGTAGAGGGCAAGCCTTAAAAGTTTCCATTGCATAACTTTTAAAGTTTTGGTGTTCATTCATGAATATAATCTTTTAATGCACCTGAACACATGTACAGAGAAGACTGTTCTGATTTCTGTAATATGAGACGGTATTCACAATAGAATGTATATACATTCTGTAGCAGGTGCTGTGTCAGCGCCAAGCTATTATACAAGCTCTTGTCTAGCTGAAAAACAGGTTCTGCTAAGTAAAAAATGCAGAAATGAAAATGTCCTTTTAATATATTACTAGCAAAAAGTGTGTCTGTTTGTTAAATGAGGAACATATAGGAGAGTAGATCACTGCAGTGGCAACCTTTTTGCAGTTAAGGCATCCTTGACAAGTATTTTCAGGTTTGAGGAACCCCAGTCTAAGGCTTGGTTCACAATACTGCGTGAACATACTCAAAAGTCACATGCATTCCCGACATGCCAACAAATGTGCATGCTATTTAGCAAGTGCGCAGTAGTGCCATTAATTCTTAATAGCACCTTCACCTTGGTGCGGTGCTATTTTAAAAAACTGGTAAGGGACTTACTTCCCTGAGTTTCTGCAGGTAGGGCATCCCATTGAAATAAATGGGCAGCTGCACGTATGTGAACTTGGTCATGCGGAGATTGGGGGTTGTAAAACCACATGGTTTGAAGCATGTTTTTACCAACCCCAACTGCTCCCCTTATATGCTGCGGAGACAGCAGCATATTGTTTTTTTTTTTTTTTGGGGGGGGGGGGGGGTTCCGCTAATTGGTCATGACTTAGTGGACTGTGTATGGGACTATGCAATGATTGGACATGATTTTTGTGCACTTCACTAATCTAAATAGTGGACGTGAAGATTTAGATTTGTAGTTTCACATTGATATATGGTGGAGTGCTTCATTTTTTAATAGATTGAAATATGATTGTTATATTTTACATTGTGTTGTAACTGCACTGTACAGTGGTAGCAGCTCTCATGTAGTAATTTTTACTTATGTTTTTTTCTCATTCTATGTATTCACAAATTTATTTGTATATATACATTAATAGTGCGGGGTTTATTTAATATTAAAGTGATATTAAAGGTTTGTTGCTTTGTGGGAATTTCTTTTGTTTTTTTAAATAACAAACATGTTATACTTAGCTGCTCTGTGCAATGTTTTTGCACAGAGCTGCTCTGATCCTCCTCTTCTTGGGTCCCCTGCCTGCGCTCCTGGCCCCTCTCCTCTGCCGAGTGCTCCGATAGCAAGTAGCTTGCTTTGGGGCATCTGAACAGGTTCACTCCCGAGCCGCTGCTCTATGTATCCAATCACACATGGAGTATGGCTTGGCCCTGCCCCCGTTCTCTCTTGCTACTTCTGTCTCAGTCAATGAGAAGAGAGAGACCTGGGAGAGCCTCCGTGCACATCACTGGATCAAGAGGGAGCTCCGGTAAGTATTAGGAGGGCTGGGGGTGCTGCTGTACTGCATGAACGTAAAAAACCTTGAACCTTTACAACCACTTTAACCACATACCCCCTTCCTGACCAGACGATTTTTATATTATTTTTTTTTTTTTTGCGATCTAGCGCTGTGTTACTTTAACTGACAATTGCGCGGTCATGCAACTCTGTACATAAATGAAACTTATGTCCTTTTTTCCCACAAATAGAGCATTCTTTCGGTGGTATTTGATCACCGGTGTGGTTTTTTTTTTTTTTTTTTTTTTTTTGGTGTTATAAACAAAAGAAGACTGACAATTTTGAAAGAAAAAACATTATTTTTGACCTTTTTCTATAAAACATATCCAGTAAAAAAATTTTAAAAATCAAATTTCTTCATAAATTTAGGCCAAAATAAATGTATTCTACTACATGTCTTTGCTAAAAAAAAAAAACAAAATCCCAATACGTGTAAATTTAATTGGTTTACGCGAAAGTTATAGGGTCTACAAATGGCAGTGTATATATACTGGAATTTTTATTTATTTTATACTAGCAGTGGCGGTGATCAGCGACTTATAGCGGGATTGTGGCAGGAATTCTGACACTGGGTGGGAACTAACTGCCACTGACATCCCAATGACACTAATACAGTGATCAGTGCTAATTATAAACACTGACACTGTACTAATGACACTGGGCAGGAAGTGGAAAACATCTGGGGCGATCAAAGGGTTAACTGTGTGCTGTTTTACATCATGTGCTGTGTGTAATTTACTAGGCAAACATGCTGCTGTGTATTAAAAACACAGCAACATGTCCTTGCTGGCAGGAGAGAGACCTGTGTTGTTTACACACAGGTCTCTTCCCTGTCAGTTTTACTCGGCGAAAGCCTGGTGTCGGCGGGGAATCTCCGGCCAGGACCCGGTGATTGACATCCCTAGCCGCCAATGGCAGCGCGGGTAGGGCAGCGCATGCCCCCTACCCGGAAATGCAAGTCACGTGTGTATATTTACGTGATTTTGCGCAGCCCTGTAGCTGTAGTTCTACTATAGGGCTGTGGGCAAGCGGTTAAGTATGGAGGAAGAGTTGCCCACCACTTCTATTGTTACAGAACCCCTCCAATGTAACAGATATGTTCTAGTCAAGCAATGGGCAAACTACGGCCCGGCGGACCTTTTAATCCGGCCCGCGGAGCGTGATACTGTCAGGATGGCTGTCAGGATGTGTGTAGGCGGGGCAGCGTGACGAACGTGAGGGGAGCTAGGCTCCTCTCACAGTCCGCCCTGAAGACCGGAACGGCGCGGGAACACGGCGAGAGGAACGCGCGGAGCAAAGGTAAGTAAATTGACACAGGGGGGACTTGGCTTACTACTTGGGGGGGAATAGTACTATGGGGGATGAAATACTATATGAGGGATGAATTAATATTGGGGATGAATTAATATGGGGAATGAATTACTATAGGGGGGATGAATTACTATATGGGGGATGAATTACTATAGGGGGGATGAATTAATATATGGGGGATGAATTACTATATCTACTCTTGGTCAATATATATGAACCCATTGCGGCCCTCAAGTCAAAAAGTTTGCCCACCCCTGTTCTAGTCCAACATCCCAAATGTAATTTCTGTAAAAAAAAAAAAAAAACACACACTTTTAAGGATATGCATTTTATTTGCAATACAACACTACAGTTCATCACTACTCTCCTAACCGTTTGAACTTTCAACGTCATTATTTTGGACATGTAATTTTTATATCAAATAAAAAGATAAAACCTCAGCGCCCAGGACCTCCTTCCCCACACACTTAACCACGTGAGATGCTGCTGTGCATAAGTATAAAACCAAAAAATATTTTCAACTAAAAACAGCGCAAAACACACCAGAAAGCAATTTATAAAATCCCCACCCTATAAGCAATATTAATGCACATTAAGTGTCAAAAAAACAAAATATTTTGTGGCACATACAAAAAAACAAAAAATAGTAAAGTCCAGTGATAAATTTTTTGACATTTATATATAAATTGTATTAATGTGCATTAATATTGCTTATAGGGTGGGGATTTTATAAATTGCTTTCTGGTGTGTTTTGCGCTGTTTTTAGTTGAAAATAATTTCTATATCAGGCTGAAACGAAGTAGGAAATGAAGAATTCTATTTTATTTCCTGTATTTTTTCCCTATAAGTATAAGATAATCTTTTTGCTTATTTTAAGGTTTCAGTACATAAATTACAGACATAAACTACTAATACGGAAAAAAAAATTACTAAACAGTAAAGTGTTTTTTTTTTTTTTTTTCTCTCTCTGTTTTGTAACAGACAAGGGGACCTTAAGAAAAAGAAGAAAAAGAAGAAGAAAGGTATTTAGAAAACAGAATTACTTAAAAAGTAATAAAATAACTAGGCAGTGCCTTGCCTTGATCTGTACTTTTACTTCTGTAATACAGGTAAACTACCGAAGAATTGTGATCCCAAAGTCACTCCAGATCCAGAAAGATGGCTTCCCATGAGAGAGCGTTCGTATTACCGTGGTAGGAAGAAGGGGAAGAAGAAGGAGCAGATTGGAAAAGGAACTCAAGGGGCCACATCAGCTGCAGCAGCTGAACTGTAAGTACTCTGTGAACTGAATGTGACGTGAGCATTAAAAACGCTTTAAAAAACATTCTAACACTTTTGCATATTTTAAATATTACTTTACCAGGACCCTATCAGCTGTCTTTTGTTTCATCCTATAGGGTTTTTTTGTTGTTTTTTTTAAAGGAAAACCTCGGCAGTAAGGATGGATAGCTTGCTGCTTCCTCCCTCTCTCGTCTTGGGCAATTGCCAGAACGGCATCCGGTTTTGTGACTCCTGGCTGCTTTATAGCAACCAAGAGCCGCAAGTGTTCAGGACATGTTGAAAGGGTTTCATGGCAATGGTGGCCACAAGCACTTTGAACAGTACTGTATGTTCACAGGAAGTGTCAGCAGATCTTTGCCCAACACTCCCTGTAGTTCTGATGCAGGTGGAGGTCACTCCCTTTAGCACAGCAGGGAAGTGACCTCCCCTGACACTATAGTGGACTGGAGGGTTTTTCTGATTGGGGTGTGTGCCTAAAGCCTGGGAACTTGTGTGTCTGCATTACTGCCAGCCGCCGCCCTGATCTGCATGAGCATATTCACACCCATGCCTGTTTGCGCCATGGTTTCATTTAAATGTCAACCCTAGTTCACAGAGCACCTCCTGCAAGATTCCATTGACCTTTCCTATACAACATTGAGCTAACTTGCATGCCCCTTTTATCACACCCTCTTCACTTCCTATGGCACAGCCTTCACTGCTTTACCACACTTTCTGCCACTGCCCTATCTTGTACCACCACACTGTCTGCCTCTTTGCCCCTACTCTGCCACACACCACAGCACTCTGCCACTCTACTGCCACATGCTGTGCCACTCCTACTGACCTCCAATGCATTCTTCTACACTCTCCACCACTTAGTATAATAATCAGTTATTTTTTAGGCCATGTATGACCAACTTTACTGATAGAAGTCTCTCAGCAGACATTGCTGATTTTTAACTTCCTATTAACACCTTGTTCTATTTATGTAAGCTCATGGTTTCACAGAATTCAATGTATGGACCCTGCAATGGTTGTCATCTTTCCCTGCTTGTTTTCTGTTTAATTCAGTTATAAGAATTCTGTTTTTATTAATCCTAGGGATGCAAGTAAAACTGCTAGTAGTCCTCCAACCTCTCCAAGGCCTGGGGTGGCAGCAGCAGGTGCTGGTTCATCCTCTACAAGCAATGTCATCCCTCCCAGACAGTCAAAGCCCGTGGGAGCTGCTGGCACAAAGAAAAAAAACAGCAACAAAAGAAAAAGAAAGGAGGGAAAAACAACTGGTGATGGGAAAATGGCAAATAATTCAAAATAACTGCCACAACTGCCACCAACTCTTATTTATGTCTTACCATGTGCAATTTGAGACACATACTTTATTGCATTAAACAGGTGGATCTCCCTTTTGGAATTGTATTTTTCAGTTTTTTTTTTTTCACTTCTACAACAATCACAAGCAGTTACGTTTTCTTGGTATTTTATTTTGGCTTTGTTTTAGCTTGATCTGGTCAGATTTAAAGATTAGGACCACCTCTCATGAGGAAGATGCATCAGTTGTATGAAGGTGTGTTCATTAATTTATGCATTAAATGCAAACATTCTCCAAGTCTGTTGTACTGTTTTTAAGTCATACATGTAAAGCTATGCATACAAAAATATATGCGTGATCAGTGACATTTATGGTCTTTGCTGGAGGCCAGACTCTGTACAAACAGCTAAAGGGCTTGATGTATAATTGATTTTATATATACTAAAGTATTGTTGCTGAACCATCACGGCAGATAGAATCAGAAAAGAAAATTAAAATCAGAACTTTTGCTTTGACTGATCCACACTGAAGTATCTTTTTTTTTTTTTTTTTTTTTTAACAAATAAAGTATTCCTTTCTGCAAAGGTCTGACTTAGAAATGGCTGCAGTTTTATAAACATTTTGTAATTTCAGAATAGGAGACAAACTGCACTAACCCACAGAAACTGTTTGGTTATTGCAGTGAGATCAGTGTAAAATTTAATTTTGATTGTTGGTATGTACAGGGGTTAGACAAAAGAAAATGAAAACACTACATGATTTGCAGGTGTGAAAGTGAAGACGTTTCGCATTGAAAGCAGAAGTGATATAACATTCTTTTGCTTTCGCTGTGTGATGAGCCACCTAACAGGTGGGAAGCCTTTTGTCATTCATTGCGTGTGCTGCTAGTAATAGGGAGTCATGTTAGACCTTACTGAGCTTCAAAGAGGGCAAATTGTTTGTGCCTGCTTAGCTGGCTCCTCTGTGGCTGAAGTTGCTAATTTATTTGTCTTGTCCTGAGGTACAGCATTAAAGGTTATGACAGCTTATACATTTTCCGGTAAAACGTCATCTGATAAGCAAAAGCGTGGTCAACATGCTCAACCTACCGAAAGAAACAAAAGGACAGTGCGCAGGATTGTGTCCCAGAATAAGAAAACAACTGCTGCAAAAGTGACTGCAGAGCTCAATGTGTCCGTCCCCGTGCATGATGAAAGTGAGGATTTCTACCTGTTGACTAGGTGTCTCATCACAGAGCAGAAGCAGAAGAATGTTACCTCACTTCCACTTTCAATGTGAAACATGTCACTTTCACACCTGTAAATATTGTAGTGTTTCTGTTTTGTTGTTTAACCCCTGTATGTATGTATGTATGTATGTATAGATAGACACTGCTCTATAAATCACTGTAGTAGTAGCATAGATACGTTCAGTGTATCCACGAATGAAGATACTGTCGGTATAATTTTTTTTTTTTACTTTTGTTAAATCTATGTAGATCAACATTCATCGTTGCACTGCTGCTTGAGTTGGTCTCTTCTTGGCAGCTGTCTGATCAGCCTTTCCTCAGTCTAGCTCTGGAGTGCAGGACCCAGACACTGCTGGAAAGGACATTGTGGAGCTAGCCCAGAAATGACCTTCGGGCACTGGGCTCTACTTGTGGCGCTTTCCAGACCAAGTACTGGTAAAAAATGTGCTGCAGAGTACTTTCCAGGGCCAGAACCATGGAATTGCCTTGGCACTTGCCCTATGTATAAAGATTCACTTTGTTGAGTTAGCTGATCAGGCTGTGAACAGGGAGTCTTTGGACTTTCCCACTAGTCCCATTTTTACAGAGGAAGGGGTTAACGTTGAGAAACTGAGTACTGATGTCATCGATTGGGTGGAATGCTTCACCCATTTAGTATAGAGAAAGCATTGTTGGACTGCTGTTCTTGCTTTGCACAGGAACCATGAGACCTCCAATCTCTGGTCAGTTCCTCTTGCCTGCATATAGTGACCCTTGCCACCTTTTGCCTCAAACTCTAAGTTTAGTTGCAACATGTCTTTATACAGACACTGAGGGGAAAGTCTCCTCTGCTATGGATGACCCTAGAACACATTCTAGTGGTCCCAGGGACATTTACTCTAAGATAATTATGCCTGAAATTCAGTGACACTATGGTCTCCTCATTGGAGTCTCCCTTAGCTCTGCCAGCTGAGGTTACATTCCTACCCTGTTCACATGGGCCTTTACTGAAACACATTACATTTGTTGCCAAATTCACCCGAATCTTTGTGGCTATTGACCATGGGGCTCTCAGTACACTCCTGTGTCTACCCCCCCCCTACAGAATTTAATCTCTGGTCTTCCTGAGGCCTTGGAACAGGCCAGAGTGATAGTGGCAGTGACCTTCTCTGACTCAGACCCAAAGTTCCCATTCTCACACTTGAGACTGGTTATTGAGGCACAATGAGTCACCTCAGACTTATAATAGGTTATTTTGGCCTCTTATTGAGGCAGTACACACTTCCTTGAGGATCACCGTGCTGACTCCAGCCTTGGATCTTTTAGTTTCTACAGCTTCCCAGGATTTTTTATTATACTAACTGTTCTATGTACTTTTCTTTGAGAACTGGAAGCACCCTGAAGTGTCCTGAGCCCTACATGAGAGTGTGGGGACTGTTCCCTTTTGAGCTGGAATTTGTTTTCAGGTGATCTATACCCACTGCAGATCTGCCAGTGAACCATCCTAAAAGGGAAGTCATTAGACCATTTTTCTCTGGCAGCCCTAATTTGGCTGTGACTCCAGTCTGTAAAACTATGACCGAATGGGTTAGATCCTACGAAGTTCCCTCCAGTGCCAGGGTAGGCCCCTTCTTAATAGAGCAGATGGTTGAAGCCTTGCAGTTAAGTTGTGATAGCCTGTTTTCTAAGCTTCTAAACGTGTGTCCTATATGGGTCTGATGTCCATACAGATGCACGGAGCACTATCTTTAAGATACCAGGATGCAGATCATATATTCATCCCAGAATGGCTTGAATTACTTAGTTTGTGAGGTATGCCATCTCATCTGTCATATTCTTGATATTACTATCAAGAATATACCTGCCTCAGCATAGGAAGTTCAGGAAAAAGTCATCTGAATCCAGGCTTCCACTCCATCTGATTCTGGAGTGACACAGGCTGAGCATTCATAGACCCTGGGCAATATGCTAGTACCGTCAGGTGACTGGACACTAGCAAGCTTTTGCTGACCTGCCCCCCCTATAACCCTACCCCACACCGTGAGTCCTTCAGTGTTTTTTTGTTAGTGTCTTAAGGTGATGGACCTTTTCTCCCTCACAGAGAAAAAACTCTTAGCTTAATTTTTTTTTCTCTTCTAATAAAAACAGTGCATCTGGCCCGGTGCAACCTTGGTTAAACCTTGGGAACCATACATGAACTATACGGTGTGGGGATGGCATGTAATGTTGCTTCAGGAACTGAATCCTGCATTGGTGCTCACCTTAGTGAAACACGTGTAGTTGCTATACAGGCCCAGGACAATGGTCCATCCCTATGAAACCTGGACACTGAAGACCCCCCTCCGGGGGGTATGCCCACTGTGAGGGCAAAGCCTGCACTCTATATAAGACCGTTTGTGGACAGGTAAGACAGGGTCATCCTGTATTGCTGACCGTTCTTATATAAAAACCTCTCAGATCTTAGTCTCAGGGGTAGGACCAGGTGTTACACCACACCACAGGTTGCACACTTTGCAGCTTCTTCCCCCTAGAGGCCTTTATAAAATGTACACTTCCTCACATTTCCCATGAGGACTTTGCTACAGGACAATCTGCTCTTGAGTTGTTGCTCCACCTTGGACTCATTTACTATTTTGACACTCCAATCCATGAGTACCCTACAGGGGAATAACCTCACCTGTAGTAATAGAAGAAACCAGGGGAAAGGGAGCCACAACAAAAGCTCAGGGTAACAAATGAGGCATACATAGAAAGAAACTTAAGAATACCAACAAAGGTGTTCAAGGATGTCACAAAAGATTTAGCACCCTCAGGCTACTATGCACCTTATGTTATAGGGTCACAAAATGTGCATGCCAAAAGGTTCCCTTCTGTTTTGAGTGAAAAGCCTCAGCATTGATCTCACCCCTCTTGTCATGTCCCTGTGGCTACAAGGAGACCTGCTAAAAATCTAAAAAGACATTCCCAGTTCATTCATAAATATAATGAGCAATTGATGACGATTGGGTCAATTTAGGAAAGATTTTCTTCCCTCCAAAAATCATAGCCAAGCTCTATCCAGTGGGGAAAAAAAACGTGCACAAAAAAAAAGTCTGTTCTGGTAGTAGACCCTGCCATAACAGTCTTTAATGTCTCACTGTACCAATCAGAGATGTTCCTTCATTTAAAGATTCTGCAGATAGGAAGTAAGAAATGATCTTAAAGGCTCTACACTTGAAGGCTCAGCTCTGCAACCAGCTTTTGCTGCAATGTCGTTTTGTCAAATTGCAGCTAACTGGACTAAGACCATGAACAGTTAACATGATACTGTTTTCCAAAATTACTTTTAACGGAGTAATTACCTTCTCTGCTCTTTCAAGTGGATGTCCTAGAGCAATTTATGACACAAATCTCCAGAATGGCTGATTTCCAATCACATGCAGAATCCGGTGGCTTAACGCCTGGTCAGCTGAAGCTGGAAGAAAAGTTCCTCTTCCACAGTGGAAATTTTGTAATTCCCATTCCTTGGGAACCTCTACCTCTTCAATGTTCATCCCAGATTTCAACTTTAAAATCCAAGTTCAGCCCTTCTTTTTGGTGCAAGATTTGGTCCACAAAGTCCACCAAGTCTTCCCCAAAGCCCTCATCCCAATGAAGGGGCACCCTCACTCTTAAGAGTGGGGGAATGTCTGTTATAGTTGTCTATCTCTGGGTCACAGATGTCTCAGACCTGTGGGTTCAATCAGTGATTTCAAATGGGTACAAAAGTATATTTCAAAGCTCTACCCCC